ATTAAAGATCTATATGTTTTATCATGAAACACAGTCAGGTGAGAAGTGTATTGTCTCAGCCGATGGGAAGTATCATACAGCCCTGAGGTGTTAACATGTAGTATGCACATGGGCGTAATTTCCACTGGGGACAGGGGGGACATGTCCCCCCCACTTTACAAAATCCCATTTGTGTCCCCCCCACTTTTTAAATGTGTTTATTATTTATTTTTTACGCAAGCGGTCATCGTCACGGAGGATTGGGTTGTTGTTAGCATCTGGTGCTAGCTCGGAGCTAACGGAGAATTGGAATCTGTTTCAACAATAAGGAGAGGGAGAGCTCTCTCCTGTCGGACTGAGAGAGATAACGCTCAGGGAGGTAAAGAACTCGCTGAGCGATTAGATTGTAAACTTTAGTCTAGTTATCTCAGTGGGTCTCAAACGGTTTGGTCATCTATGTAAACAAATATTTCCATCTATGTAATATTAGTTGTATATAAAATAAGTTAAGAAATCCTTCCAATGTGTACTATCTATAGGTCAGTACAAAAATAAAAAAACACAGTTTCAAAGGGGAGTGATTAGTCAAATATGCATAAATAAAAAGAAAGAAAGCAGACTAGGTAAGATAAAGATATAGAGAGGAGTTTATCAATGATTTGTTATTGCTTGTGAGCATATTCTAATGTTTTTTGGAGTATTGAAATATATACAGTTCTGTTTTATATGAGTGTTGAGAACTGTATCCATACATCTCTTCATTTGTGCACCAGATTGATGCATTTAGCTTCGATTTAAAGAAAACAAATCTTCCCGGGGTGGATGCCCCGGGACCCCCCTAGAGGATGTGAGGTCATCACAAATAAAACAGGTTCACATGGATAGGATACTAGATAAGTGTGCACACTCATTATATACACTACACATTTTTCTTGGATTTGTTAACACTATAGTCCCTAATATATTTGTAGAAAGGCAGGAAATTAAATTAAATTGAGAAAATGTTTCATTGCGGAGGACCCCCTGTTTTGTGTCCCCCCCACTTCTCAAACCAAAGTTACACCCTTGAGTATGCACAGAGAGAAAGCCCTATTTAAAAACAATATGCATTGTTCTAACCGCTTAGAGACAACAGTGGCTCGTAAAGCAAATGTTTCGGGACAGGGAAAGTTTAAATCAGGGCCTTAAACTAACTGTGTTGGAGAAGAGGTGAGAAACCCTTTGAAAACCTGCTGTATACTTACAGTGTAAACGGAGCCTCAATCAATATTGAATTCAGTCACTTAGCTGCAGACTCCTTTTTTAACTTCCATTTGCAACATAGACTTTTCTGCCTATATTTTGGCATAAACTCCTACACTTTTTTATCGCTTTTGTAGCTTCAATTCCAGTCCTCAGTTTGTCTCTCAATCTCTGTACACCTGGTGTTTTTTTTTTTTTCAAGATTAGAGTCCAAACTGCTCAGAGAAGTCGCCTGACTCTTTTTAAAGGCACAGCTTTGGTACTGACATCCAGCTGGCAGAACACCATGGTGCTCTAGTACAGATTAGTGCCAGAGACATAATGTAAAAGAGTGTCGGATCAGTGTCACATGCACTCTTAACACAGTCATAGTGGCTCTCTGATACCAACCAGGGACACCAACTAACCACTTGAACTTCTACTAATTAAAACGATGCATGATTTTGACATTTGACTGTGTTTTTCCTTTGTTAGAGACCCTCTGATGTATTGGTGTCCTCCCTTACCTCTGGGTCTGTTGCTGTACATGATGTCACCGAGAACCTCTTGGCCTTGTCTTGTGTGATGGTGTGTATGGACGAGTCTGCAGCAGGGGGGAAAAATGATTGTGTGTAGTTGGGTTTTGGTGACATAGGTGAGTTCCCTCTAGGAAAAGGTGAGGTAGAAGGAGTGGCAGCGGGTGAGGGCTGTGGGGAGAGGGTTCCCATCTCTATGGCCAGGTCCTCTGTGCAGGCCAGGCCTCGGCTGCGGAGGTGTTCGTCCGTCTCTCTGTCCACCACCAGCAGCCGGGTGCGGTGGGACACCTCGCGGATACGGTCCACCACCTGTAGAGAGGAGAGAGAGGGAGGGGAATCAGTCAGTGTTATTCACCCTGAACTGGCCTGCACCTGACATTTTTTAGCATTATAGAGCAGTGGTGTAAAGTAACTAATTACATTTACTCAAGTACGGTACTTAAGTAAAAGTTTGAGATACTCAAGAGTACTCAGAGGTGGAAGAAGTACTTATTTAAGCATAAGTACCAAAGTGCAGGAATACTCATGCATTCAAATTGTTACTTAAGTAAAAGTAAAGTATTGGTATCAAAATATACTTAAAGTAATAAAAGTAAAAGTACTCATTATTCCCATTTCAGAATCATAAATATAATGTGTTTATTATAGCTGGTAAAGTTGGAACTTATTTAAACTCATTGTGAATTGAATCCATGTGTATTAAAGTATTTTTTAAGTGTTGATCCTATTGTTTATCATTAAACTACATGCAAAGTAAATAAAGGTATGAAATAAGTGTTTTCTTTTACCTCTGAATTGTAATGGTATAAAGATACAAGGGAACACAAAATGGAAAGTAAAGTACAAGTACCTCAACATTTTACTTAAGTACAGTACTTGAGTAAATGTACTAAGTTACCACCGCTTATACTTTACTACTACTACTACTACTAGTATTTCAATTTTTTGCTAATGTTTCTTCTCCACTACAATTCACAGGTAAATTGTGTTATTTTAGTACATCGATTTAATACCTTTAGATTTGGATTAATGATGTAAAATATAATCAACACTTAAAAAACTTTAGTCACACCCGGAATAAATTCACAATCTTACTAAGTAATTAAAACTAGCTTCACCTTTACCAGCTTTGATAACACTTTAATGCATCAATTATTAAAATGGGCCGATCAGTATGATGAGTACTTTTACTTTTGGTACTTTAAGTATATTTTGATGCTAATACTTTTGTACTTTTACTAGAGTAACATTTTGATTGCAGGACTTTTACTTGTAACAGAGTATTCCTGTATACAGGTACTTTTTTCAGTACAAGATCTGAGTACTTTCCCTACATCTGTTACAAAGACACCCAGTGATTCCCATTACACAAAGCTCACATTGACCCATTAGTTGCCCCACTTCTCCTCCCGCCTCCTCCTTCTCCCCAGGCAAAGTAAAAAGTTGTCTAACAGGTATACAACTCATTGTTTGTACCTCAGAGACTTAAAGCGCCTCTCCAGGCTTCTCTTTATGCAAGTACCTGTCTGTTATCCAAAAAAAAAATGTATTGAGCCATCACTCACTTGATGGTGGGCTTCGTTCTCCACATTCTCCCCGTTCACCTCCACCACCCGGTCTCCTGGCCGCAGCCCGGCCATGTCAGAAGAGGAGCCGGGCTCCACTTTGCGGATGAACTGCCCGCCTCTATTCCTCTCCCCATGCAGGTGGAACCCATAGCCCTGCTCTGCTTTGGTCAGGAAACAGAGCCTGGGTCTCAGCTCGCTCTCCATCCCAACCGGCGCGTTAATAGAGAGGAAAACAGGTCAAAGTGTCTCAGGAGAATAAACAGGTGCTCGGGCCAACCGCGGTGGGAAGTCTCTGGCTCTTAATCCAATGTACGGCTGCTGCGCGCTCCGGGGACCAAAAGATCATCATCTTTTAGCATGATGCGAGTACATTAATAATCCACAAAAGAGCACAAATCACAAAAAAGGCTTAAAAGTGTTTAATCCATCATGCAAATGCAGGTGGGAAAAATATGAGCGCGTAAAATTGGTGCGTACATTTGTGTCCAAAAACTGCTGCCAGTGGCTAAATCCTGACCATCGCAGGAATAATCCAAGAGATCAGAGATTAGAAAGATTTTCGTCACACGTAACACTTAATTCCCCTCCTCAACTGGACATGTGTCCTCCTGTCCTGCGGTACGAAAATAAAGAGGCGTCTACAGCAGATGGCACTACTTAATGTCCCCTGCAGCGCACACCTGACGACGCAGCGCAGCCGCGAGGACATTAGCTCGCGGTGCAGTCCCTCCAGAGAGGCGGAGGTCTGCCCCATGGTGGTGGAGGTGAGGCTGTGACCTGAGAGCGGAAATCCTCCCCATCTATCCCTGTCTCCACATGAGATCAACAGGTTGCGCATGGATATATATGGTTCATGAAATATAAACTCATAGCTTGCTTTCATTCATCAATTTACAAAGGTGTGTCTCAGGTTATTCAGGACAGCTTGAGGGTGTGTGTCGTTGATATTTAGATCAGGGAATATGAGACTTCCACGTGGCAAGTGTTAAGAGCAGCAGTTTAGTTTCCCTTACAGCCAGAGGTGAAAGAGTAAATCAAGTAAAGCAATACTTAGGAGGGTTATAAATAGTAGTATAAAAGGTAACAATACTCATAATACAGTGCTTACTTTTACTGTTATTGTATAGTTATTATTCTTAAAATGATAGGCTATGAATTCCATTTCTAAAGTAGTAATTATAGATCTTAAATACATGTATTTAAATGAAAAATTCAAGTATGAGGACCTCTGAATTATACTGAGTAAATGTTCTTAATTTCCACGTCTTCCTTTCACACCTTAACACTGCTGATGTGCTATTCACAAAAACATCAGATTAAGGCGTGAATGAATGAATGACTATTATCATTGAATCCTGCCACAAACATGAGCATTGTCTATGTGACAGTGTTTCATTATCTGTAAGGCTCATTTTCACAGATGAGAGTTTGTCATATAGCGAGACAAACAGGGGTGTAACTATTATCATTAACAATGGCTTGGTTCTATTTAAATGTCCCTGTGAAGCATGGCAGCCAGCCAACACACACCTGATGATATTCCTGCTAAACCATCCCTATAACTTGCAGTGAAGAATGATTCCAAACAAGTGTTTATTTATATCTTCTTTTTAAAGTCCATGACATCTCTACAGTATTTATTTGAATTACATTTTGTTGGGCATATTAGAAAAAATAGAAGGACAAACTTTGAACATGATTTCAGTACATCATTTATTTATTTTTTTATAATAATAAAGTAGCACCAGCAGTAGAAAAATAGTTTATCTCTTTGAAGTAGTTGTAGTGTCATATTAAACATTCTGATATCCACATCAATGTTCTCAGTGTGTCTGTGTTTAAGTTGATCTTTCTGGTCCAATATTTGGTCACAGCTCAGACAAGACTAAATCAATATTTAACCTTGGTTTTTATCCTTCGTTTCGGTGCGTTTGGGGAAACAGGTGTGGGCAGTGGCTCCTTCTTTAACCTCTCATGTTTAACATCGGATTCTTGTCCAGGTTCAGTCGAGGCAGAGGTTGGATCAGGGGAGCAAGGGGAAGCCGCTTTAGGCCTTTTTGTAGGAGAGATCTTGTGGGCGGAGGGACAGCTGTGCTGGTTCAGACACACGGAGCAGAGCGGCCTGACGGGGAGACACACCTGCTGCCCGAAACCCACCAGCAGCCAGTTGATCTCACTCCACAGCTCCCTGCCGCAGAGAGGAACATCACACGTTACTTTGAACTGCTCACTCATTGATTTTTACAAACAGGCACAACATATAGTGAAGGGTGCCCATCAATCAACAGAGGAAATGATAGAGAGATAGATAGATCATTTATTCATCCCAAATTGGGAAATTATTTTGTTACAGCATCAGGGTGTTTTCCGGCAAGGTGGATTAAAGTACAAACATAATCAAATTAAAATAGCAAATCTATACTATATCTACAGTATAGAGACATATATCACAAAGAATACACAACATAAAATGTTCTGGATAAGTATGGATGGTATATAAATACATTATACAGTATGTAGTATGGTCAGTCTGGGTGACTTTATGGATCTGTTGGTCTGTGTTAATCAGGTTGTACAGGTCAGCAGTGAAGTAATCATGCTGTTACCTTGGTAACCACTCCTCCAGGGCCTTGCGCGTTTGCTCCGGGCTCTTGGTCGGTTTCTTCAACCAGCCCAGCCAGTTAGAGATACGATGCACGTGTGTGTCCACGCCTAAACAAAACAAAACTGTATATTTAGGTACACATACACATAAACTGATTTGCATTTCTATAAGAAAAAGCAGTGGTGGAAAAGCATTCAGATCCTTAAAAAGACTGTAAAAACAATGTAAAATGTCTGCATTCAAAACCTTACTTGTGAAAAACCATGTAAGTGTCATCGGTGAGAAGTACTTTTAGTATCAAAGGAATCCACAATGCTGAACAAAATACCCCTTTTGTGGTGTTTTAGTATTATTCTGTATTACATAAATATTACTGATGCAATGATGTGTAATTCAAATGTACTGCTGTCGTTGAAGGGTGGAGCTGATTTAATCTATTTGATTCAGTGTTGGGTAATTTACTATATTTAAAAAAAAATGTCCATGCTGCTATAACTTTATCAACCTCAGTTTCACACAGATTTGCAAGTGCATGCATCAAGAAAGAGTGTGTCCCCCACCGATGCCGGACACCTGGTCCCATGCGATGTCCATAGCCAGATGAGCCATCTTAGGTCCGACTCCTGTTAGGCGGACCAGCCCCTCCACGCTGTCTGGGATGTCCCCTCCAAACTCTTTCTGCAGAATGGCCGATGTCAGCTTCAGATACTTCACCTTCGTCTAGAAGGGGTGGGTAAGAAAACAATTCAACCAATCAGAGATGCAGGGTGAAAAGGAGGAAGTGTGGCTCCTGTAAAACAGAGTACTGAGTTCTGTATTACCCTCCAGAAGCCGACAGGGTAGATGAGTTTCCCCAGTGCTTCATCATCAGTATTAAGAATATTTTCTGCAGTGCAGCCGTGAGCTCGGAGCCTCTTCATGGCTGCTGCGGTCACCTGGTCCTTGGTCTGACTGGACAGCATGAGTGAAACCAACACCTGGAAACGTCTGACCTGAGAAGACAACAGAGGGAGCAAGATGAGTGCTTCTGAACCGTAGAAATATGTGAGAAAAAAGAAACCCACACCTACATGAGCAGGAGCGTCTGAGTCGTAGCATTTCTCTGCCCCCATGTTATCTACAGGTGCATACCGGCTGCTCCTCATCTCACGGATGTATCCCAGTTGTTTCTGCCAGTCGGGAGGTTCCCAGTGTTCTGTCTTCACCGGTGGTACACCTTCATCCTCATCATATTCCACTTTTAGCTGTTTCCTCCTGCGGCTGTGTGAAGACAACAGCAAGGCGTCTGTTTCTGTTTTTGGATGACAAGCACCAGAATGAGCACAGGGCAGAGAGGATTTAGAATATCTGACCCAGCACAGAAATACAGAAAGAAAACATACCACATGGGAACAAGTATGTAGATTAGGTTGAGGTTGCCTTGCCTCTGCTGTGTCAACCAATTTTCAGATGCAGGAGTAAACAGATTAACAAGTAAAAACAACATCTGCAACTTCTCCAACTTTTGCTCATTAACAACTGTATTTGGAGCTAGCTAGAAGAACTGTGGTGAATTTCTAAATGAGTTCACACGTTTCTGTGTGGACTAACGTCAACATTACCCGTGGATAAGGGGGCCGAGGAGGGTCTTTGCTCCGAGATCCTCGCCTCCTCCGGCTCTACCTTCACCTCCACAGAGGAACCTGGACCCTGATTCCTCCGTCTGGTGGTGAGTTTGGACCTGAGAGAGGCTGCATTTTGATCACCACTCCGAGTGATAACAGGTCTGCTCTGCATGAAATAAGGAGAGGTCATAGTTAAAGTCCGGACTACATAACAGAACCTCGTTTTCCAGCGGACCTGAGGCATTTAGTTGATCTTGAAGTTGGTTGCTCATTCGTAGATTCTGGTCACGAGTCGAGCAGAAAAAAAACAATCCCGGTAAATAAATGAAAGAAAGACAAAATAATTGTATTAATAATAAAAGTTGTTAATTTAAATACAAAAACGTTTTATTTAGAACAGAATTACACATATCTCTCACCAAGTTATGTTGTTTTATTTAGTGTAGGCCTACTAAAAATCATGACTTTAAGTGTTTGGCTCTATGCCTGGCAACTATGCACCTGTGTAACTTAATAAAAAAAAATGCGCTTAAAAATCGTCAGCATTAAGCAGAGATCAGGAGTATGACATGACATGTCATTGATTAAGCCATCAGTCCTACCAATCAATCAGGTAGTTAAAGGTAAATAAAATAGGGTTTCTTTTTATATCTGTTTATTAGCATCTAAATGTGTGTTTCTCTCCAATACATTGTATTCATGAGGTTTATTTTTCAAAGAAATTCCTTTTTAAGTCTTTTTACTTAATTTAAACCTGTTATGTAGCTCCACTGGCAGGCAGCCTTGCGACAGTGCAGCTTCTGGCTCCAATGAGGAACCAACTTCAGCATCGTTAGCATGTTTAGCTAGCTACTCGTTAACCGTTTCAGTTTAAGAAACATGTGTCTCGTCACTGGCAGCTATTTAACATCTTTCTTATGCAGCCACTGGGTAAATAGAGCTGCGTTCTGCTATTTTGTGAATGTCCGGTAGTTTGCAAATTATACAAAACTCAAAACAAGGCTAACAAAACAGCTTTAGCATAGTTTGTGTTTAGCTTGCTTGGAACTACATTTCCCAGCAGCGAGAGTAACTAACGTGTTTTTGTAGGAAGTGCCCCTGTCACAGCGTTAGTGTGTCATCCGGTTGGGAAGTGGAGGAGGACTGAGCCTGGACGAGAGCAAGCTTCCAGCAGCAATTGCAGAGTTTTATCAATGCAGAGACACAGACGGCTCTGTTGGCTGTATATGGACGAAGCTGCGGCCTTATGAAGCCGAGAGAGACTCCTCTGCATTAAGGTGAGAGGAGGGGGAGGAGGAGATGTTTTCTAAGCAACCAGACCTTGAATGCCTCACAGGAATGCTAGCTCATGACAGGGAATGTAAAAGCGGAGCTAACGGTTCAGTAGCGCCATTGTGCATTTCTCCTGATTATACCATGTTTTCGCTAAGTGGTTAAATATATTATTTGTTCAGGATGGAGGTTATTTTTCACTGATGTGGTTGTTGTTGTTGTTGTTGAAGTGAAACAGAACAGTGGTTGTCTGTCTGCTCACCTCCCCTCCCCTCTGTCTCTGTCAAGTCCACATGACAGCAGATATTCTCCAAACCTGCCCCCCTGGTTTACACATTTACAGGCTCCAAACTTCACTGCTGCGTAACAGAAGCCTCTGCTCCCACCATAGTTACATACAAAAACTACTACTACTACCATACCTCCAGTGGTATCTAGATTCAGCCATGCAACTTAAATGTAAAAAGTTTGTTGTTGCCACCACAGTCATTGTTGGAAAGGTTACTTTAGACCACTTAGCTAGTTACCCTGTTCAAAATGCATTACATCATGTAAATCTTTTAGTATTCAACCCTGATTATTGTCAACTTTTATAAAATGTTCTTTAAAGAAATCAAAATTAAGAAGGGAATCAGCAATAGATCAAACGTTATTTTCCTCATGTAGGATTTTTACTGAAAGTAATATAATCTGATGTAACACCTTTTAATCACCAGCATACACTTACATTCATTGTTACTTCACTTCAGTTCAAACACTGGTTTTAGTATAATATTGTGCAACCCTTAAATGAGAATGCTTAATGTATATTGCCTATACATGCACACCCCAGGGCAACACATTCACACAGAGGTACAGGGTGTCTTTGATCCTTTTCCTCAATAGAACATGCTTTGTGCTTCAGCCTCTTATATAAACCAACATAAGGAAACACACAAACAACCGTCCAAGTAACTGTAATAAATACACTGAGAGAAACTCTGAATATGCATTTTTTCCCACAGTGTATCAGCCCATCTGAAAATGGTCTCTGCCAACATTACAAATAAAACCAATACACCTGATGCATTAACCTTTCCTTGGAGAACATCAGAGAGGCTACTTCACACCCCAAACGCCAAATATTGAATGAATGTGTCCATTGTTTAGTTTGGCATCTGCATGTTGGATAGATCATGAGAGAATGTGTCCAGATCTGGGTGTCTGATGACCTCAGCTAAACTCTCGGCTAAATCTATAAAACTTCAGACTGGCTTAGAAGGAGAGAAAAAGGTTAACACTAGATTAACTTCATAATGCTCACTCATTGTCATGTTCCTTGCTGATGTTTGAATCTAGTTACACGTCATATTTTATTGTGATGTAGTGGTAGCATCTTAAAGGATTTAATAATTGCAATGGGTTTTGGCTTTGAATGTGACCATCTATCTTATTGCTGTTATGCAAAGCTACATCAAGTCAATTCAGAGGAAGTGTGGCTCTTTATCTGGTCTTTGGGTATTGGGTTTTGCACTGTAATAATCCACATTGATACAAATCTAAATGTTTGCTGCTCTTTCTCCAGGCAGCTCTCAGTCCCAGCCTGTGCGGTTGACCGCCCCTTCAGGTTGGGCCATGAATAAACAACCGAGCAAAGAGAGTCTCAAGGACAAGGTGAAGGGGATCTTTGGGCTGGGAACCCCGCGGCCGCTCAGCAAACAGAGTGACGCCCGACCGTCAGAGTTCATCATCACGACGGACATCATCAAGGTGTGCAGGAGAGACCAGAAGACTGTGCAGATCTGTTCATACACAATTAAACGCAGCATGCTCTTTGTTTTTTGTATACATGTTTTGCATCATACCTTTCCTCATTCCTTTCCTCCTGTGATGTATTTCAGGAGCTCCAACCAGACTGCGGTCTGAGCACCCGCGTCCGCATGATGAACCATGTCTGTGAGCTCGCCAAAACAAAGAAATTTGAGGATGTGAGTCTGCTCCTGGTTTGACATTTTTGGATACAACACAACATGTCATCTTCTGTGTGTAACTCTGTGTTTTCATGTGTTTTTTTTAAGCATGCTGTGGAGGCTGTATGGAAAGCCGTGGAGGACATGCTGACTCCAGAGCAGCCACTGGAGGCCAGACATGCGGTCCTGCAGCTGCTGAGGGCCATTATACAGGGACAGGTACATAGACAGGATAAACACACACAAATATGAAATGTGAATCTAGTGCCTGACTTTTCCTAATGATCGGTTCCCTGTAAATGTGAAGGGCGAGCGGCTCGGCCCTCTGAGAGCATTCTTTTTCAACGTGATCAGAGACTACCAACCATCCAACGAGGACCTCTCTGATAGGCTGGAAGTCTTCAAGGCCTTAACCGAGAACGGGAAAGACATCACTTATCTGGAAGAAGATATAGGTAAAACTCCCTGGACATTTTTTAAAGCACTTCAATGGGGGGAAAACGAGGGACGAAGTGGGATGAAAATGTGTTCATGTAAGGGGGGAGATTCTTAGACTTTGCAAAATTGAAGTTTTTTTCCCGCAAATAACTTTGCTACTGATGGACAGTCAGATTCCTTTTTTGTATTATTAAGTTTCGAGAGAATAACTCTACTTATTTTAATAAATGGAGCAGGCAACATTTTCATTTTAGTTTATAACTTCAACTTGCTGTTATTGAAGTCACTGAGAATTGATAAGGTTGCTTTTTTTTGTTTACATTATTGCAATTGGTTGAGTAACGTTTTCAGATATAAAATAACTCTATAATCTTGTACACACTCTGCATTCATCCCATCATTTACCACTCTGCCTTTATAAGCACAGGCAGACAGTGTGCTTTTCATCCTGAGTAAAGCCCTACACTCATTATTGTCTGGTTCACCAGCATGATCCTCTTTGTTCTGAATTGAATTGTTAGTATGATGATTCTGGATTAAATATCTAGATTCCAGTGTATCAAATATATACTTTTAACTCATTTGAATCATCTTTGTAGTCATGTTTGCAATTATTATTTGTTGAGGCATGACTGGGCTGTTACACACCTTATTCACCTGCTCTCGCTCTGTTCTCTCCTGTCTCCAGCACGCTTTGTCCTCCTGTGGATGGACATAGGTCTTACCTCCGATTTTCTCCATGTTCTTGTAAATCTGGTGAAGTTCAACAGCTGCTACCTGGACCAAAACGTCTCCGTCATGGTCCAGTAAGTCCGAGATCCAGACACATAAACACATTTCTGTTTTCAATAAAAAATAATGTATTAACATGCATTTGTTTGCTTGTGCTGTGTAGGAAAATCTGCCTCCTGTGCAATAGAACTACATCTTCAACAGATATTGAGGTGGGTGTTTGTTCAAATTCATTCTTTGTTACAACGGCTTGTTAGAATCTTACAGCAAAGAGAATATCCCCAAATATGAACAATGGCTGGTCCAAATTATAAACAGCAAATCAGGTAGGTAGATGTAAAAAAAGGGTTCATATCCATTATTTTTAGCATTAGGAGACATACTCATTTAATCATGGAATAAACGATGAATGATCAAAAATGTAATTCTACTTAAATTGTGTGGTCGCAGTTGGCTTTACTCATCACCACGAAAACGTTGTTTGTGTGAGGCACGCAAGATAGAAATCTTAATCAAGTTCGTTTCTGATTCCCTAATAATGGTAGAGTGCTTGTTTGTGGGACTGTGTTGTTGAACTGCAGTAACACAGTTACATCTCCAGTCATCTAAAGGTTTTGATGTGAAATCTCTGAGAGGTGTGTTACCATGCATGTCTTTAATCAATGATAGACAACAGATAGTGCTGATTCATGCTGAGGAGGTATTCCTGAACATTTAACATTTAGTGGTTTGTATGTAAAAGCAGGACTTTCATTTGACAACTACATATAATAAATGGAACATGGAAGTACCAAATCATCCAATTGGCAGTCTGGTGTAAGGTGTTTGTTATTTACTGTGCTCTCTATGTTATTTATTTTGTAAACAAACAAGAAACACAATCAAAACGTATTAACAGCACAATCTAGCGCGACCATACTCATAAATTAATGAGGCTCAGAGTTGTTTACAGTTTGTTTTGTTTTATTTGTGTGTGTTTGTATGTGTGCGGTCTGTGTATGCTGTGTCTAGGTGGCACTACAAGTATTGGATGCAGTGGTGTGTTACAACTGCCTGCCCTCAGACTCTCTCACTGTCTTCATCATCACACTGTGTCGCACTGTCAACGTCAAGGAGTTCTGTGAATCCTGCTGGAAGGTGAGAGAGCAAACGCACACACATGTATACACACACTTTCTCCTTTGTCTGATGCAATGCGCATTATTCATAACGGCCTGTGATTGTGCACCTGCAGTTGATGAGGAAGGTGTTGGGGACTCACCTCGGCCACAGTGCAATCTACACCATGTGCCGGATAATGGAGGAGAGGTATTAGGCAGTCTGAGTGTATTTCTGAACTTATGGTGCATTATGGGAATGTTATTTTCCTGCTTTTTGTGCGTTTTTTTAACTATCTGCACCCTCCCTCAGAGTGTACATGGAGGACGCCCCGTTGTTGAGAGGAGCCGTGTTCTTTGTTGGGATGGCACTGTGGGGCGCACACAGACTCCCCGCCCTGAAAAACACACCTACACTCGTTCTGCCATCTTTCTACAAGGTAACACTCATACAGTACAGTGCATGCTATCTGCCCCATTAGGCATGTGCTGATCTTATTGCTTAAATTACATGAAAACAAGAATAATGCATACTGTACGTGGCAAAAATGTCAGGGAAAACATTTTTGTTTTTGTTCTACAAGATATGATCTAGGGCGCCCTATGGTTTTAATCTCTTAATAATTGAATAATATTTGTGTAATCATTTGGTCTACAAATGATTACACAAAACTGAGAATTCAAGATTTTCCTGAACTCAAAGTGAATACATGTTTGGTCTTTTTTTTCTTAAAATATGAAACAAACAAAATTGTTGCAGATGAATGTTCTGTGGACAGAATTACAGATTATTTAACTACTTATGTCTCTTCTAACACTGTAAATAAAAAATGAAAAATGCCAAATTTCCAAATCTCTTTTCTTGCCAAACATCTATCACTTTTTGCCAAGAAATATGTATATTTATATTTATGCTTCAATGCCAAATACACCATTTTTGCATATGCTGGATCTTCCTATGTGTTTTTAGTTTGTCATACTATAGACATTTTTGAAAGTAGTAGTACCTAGTGTGACTTTATCAGATGTAGCTAGTTCTAGGGATTCTTCAAATAGAAGTAAAACAAAAAACAAGTATATTCCTGATAATGTGATAGATCAGTTGTCATAACTGTTTCTGTTTATCTGTCACTCAGGCCATGTCGAGTGCCAATGAGGTGGTGTCCTATGAAATCGTCCTCTCCATCACCAGACTGATCAAGAAGTACGGCAAAGAGCTGCAGGTGGTCACATGGGACATCCTGCTGGGCATCATAGAGCGGCTGCTGCAGCAGATCCAGGTACACACACGTACACACACGTACACACACAAACCACACATGTACACACACACACACAGAATAAAATACCAGTTATTTGTTCACCAACTGGCCCATCTCATGTGTCTTCACAGACAATAGGCAGTGCGGAGTTGAAGGCCATTGTGTACGAGCTGCTGACCACAGTGGAGGAGCTGTACGAGCAGAACGGTTACCACGGCTCCACAGAGAAGTTCTTCAGTCTGGTGGAGAAATGTGCCGACAAGAGACCTGTTAGTGCTTTTGAGTTTCCATCCCTCTGTGTCATATTGTGTTTTTGTCATCTAACACAGTGGTTCTCAACTGGTGGGTCACGACCCAAAAGTGGGTCGCGGACCCGATTCGAGTGGGTCGCAGATGTGTGAGTGAAGAAAAAAAGATTGAAAAAAAAAAGAAATAACTTTTTTTCTTTTTGGGAAAAAAGTCAAATTTTTATTTTGAAGGCCCGATTTTCCAACGCTGTAGGCGTTGGACTGGAAGTCACGTAGTGATCATCTTCTCAATAAAACATCTTTGCTGATGTTTTTTCGAGTCTTCTGGCCAATCAGAATCAAGATTGTTGCCGGAAGTCCCCACGGAGAATAACTTTGCGGTAGAACTATTCTTTATACATCCATGGGTACAACTTCAGATAAAAATGAACTCATAATGAAATATGACCCCCGGTTTGATGATTGACAGGTCACAGAACAATGGGGGCTATCTACCCTTACCCACAATTTAAAGTAAGTCACACAGACTATCTCCTCTTTACTCTTCTCTCTGTGTGGAGCAGCAAGTTCAGCTTCAGAACAAAGTGAAAAACAAACAATGGCATAAAATATTATTAATATGTCGGGTAGTAATAGATGTATTTATTTTCTTCTCAGAGTGTAGAATGTGTAGTTTATATGTTAGTATTTCTAAAAATCTCCTGGGGAAGAATCCCCCCAGACCCCCCTTCTGCGGTTGGGTTTTCAGCATGTGTGCCTTTGTATGTTATACAGTTCAGCTTTGATTCCATCATCTCATTAAACCTTTTTTAAAAGCATACTTTAGTTCTGTGAAGGGATATAAGGGATATATGCACTGTACTTCACTTTAATTAATATTGTATGATGAAAAGCGTATATATACTACAGCACGATTTTTTGTTGAATAGATTTGAGTGGTTCAAAATTTCGGGTCGCGATCTATTAACTAAGGAAAAAGTGGGTCCCGAGGCCTGACCAGTTGAGAACCCCTGATCTAACACACTGCTGATACCTTTCTAATCTTAATATTGTGTGTGACAGGATGCATCAGTGCTGACCCTCATCTCGTACAGAGCCCAGTCTATTCAACCAGCCAAGGACGGCTGGATTCAGAGCCTTCACCGCCTCATGGAGAAATTCTTCAGGTAAGACACAAAGGGGGATGATGGTGATGATATTATTGACTTGGAGGCAAGATTTTGCTATATGGAATAGTTTTTTATCTCTTATTGCTTCCTATTCTAATTGTATTTCAATGTTTACCTCTTAGTCTATATCAAAATGCTCTGGTCTTTTTAATATTGTATTGATGTCGTACTATAACAGCCAAATAATGCAGTGTGTTTAATGACAACTATAAACAATTGTATCCCTCTCTGCTATCACCACCTTGATCCCTTTCTCATCTAATCTCTGCTGAACAATATTTAGTTTCTGTCCCTCTCTGTCATGTTTCTGTCTCCCTGAAAGAAACGAGACTCGCAGCGTGATAAGGATCAAAGTACTTCATATCCTGTCCTTCGTTCTCAGTACCAACCGACAGCTTTACGAGGTCTGCACACACACACACGAACCTGCACACACACATTTGATTTAATTCTTACTGTATGTCTGTTTTGCTGTTTACTCATGTGTGAATATTCAACAATATCTCTCAATGTGTCTAATAATAATAATAATGGGTTCCATTTATAAAGCACTTCATATTTGATTTCAAATCCCGAAGTGCTACAAGCAGTGAGCATGAACAGTATAAATAAACATTACACAACACGGTAGAATTTAATAAAAAGCAATAAAAAAAAACAATAAAAATAAAATAAAATAAAATAAAATAAAAGGGTGGTAAAAAGGTCTAGGCAAAGGCTCTTTTGAACAGATGGGTTTTGAGACCTTTTTTAAAAGCCTCCACGGTCTGTGGTGCTCTCATGTGGTCGGGGAGAGCACTCCACAGACTGGGAGCAGCCGAGCAGAAGGCCCGGTGGAGTGAGGAGTTCCTTGAGGTAGGGAGGGGCAGTTCCATGGACACACTGGTGGGTGAGGACGGAGACCTTGAATTCAATCCTCAGTTCCACGGGGAGCCAGTGTAGTGTAGTCTCTCACTCTCTTACTTTATTGCCTTGTTCCAGGACGAGTTGATTGAGATGGTGGTGATCCCCCAGCTCAGTGGGATAGCTGAAGACCGTGACCTTGCTGTTCGAAAACAGGCCACCCAGCTGCTGGTGGACCTGGCAGAGGGCTGCAACACACACCACTTCAATAGCCTGCTGGACATCATTGAGAAGGTACACAACACCCAACACCCAACACCCAACACCCAACACCCAACACCCAACACCCAACACCCAACACCCAACACCCCACACCCAACACCCCACACCCAACACCCACACCCAACACCCAACACCCCACACCCAACACCACACCCAACACACAACACACAACAACACACACACACACACACACACACACCCACAACACACCACACCCAACACACCACACCCAACACACCACACCCAACACACCACACCCAACACACCACACCCAACACCCACACCCAACACCCAACACCCAACACCCAACACCCAACACCCAACACCCAACACACCAACACCCAACACCCAACACCCAACACCCAACACCCAACACACCCAACACCCAACACCAACACACCACACACCACACCCAACACACCACACCCAACACCCAACACCCAACACCCAACACCCCACACACCACACCCACACACCACACACCACACACCACACACCACACCCACACCCAACACCCAACACCCAACACCCAACACACCACACCCAACACCCAACACACCACACCCCACACACCACACACCACCCAACACCCAACACCCAACACACCACACACCACACACTCACTCACTCACTTACTCACTCTCTCAAACGCACACACACTCGTGCTGTCTCACTTTTAATGCTATGGTAATTCAGTTCCTTCCAGCCACGATGAGGTCTTTTCAGTGATTTCTCTCTGTGCAGGTGGCCAGCCGCTCTCTGGTGAGTTCAGGGCCCCTGGAGGTCACTGAGAGAGACCCCACAGGAGAGTCTCCTATGGAGGACGTTAGGACGGCTATACTGGGCCTGCTGGAAATCCTGCAGGTACACATATAAGGGCTGCATTCACAAAACATGGGGTTCAAGTTATTTTAGAAAGGCAACGGTTTGTTTTGTTAACAAACCTCTTAAATTGTCTGGAAATGACAAAAACATGTAGTTTCAGATTTGAGCCATGTTTACAAATATGAATGGAGCCTGCCTGATAAAAATCTGATGTTATTAATTCTTTGTAGATAGTAAACAAAACTCATAATAAATATCTTTACTATTGATTAGTATCAAGTTTTTCAAGTTATACTTTTTAACCTTAAAGGTGGGGTAGGTAAGTTTGAGAAACCAGCTCGAGATCGCTAGAATTTTGAAAATACACAACCGGAGAAAATCTGCCACTTCCTTATAGAGCCCCTCCTCCAACACACACGAACGCGCACATGACCAATGAGGGCACGAGATAAGTTTGTGCACAGATGGAAGGCTGACAGGCAGGTAGGCCATCCAGTTATTTCAGCCGGGCCGGCTAAAATGATTGGTCGTACTTTTTACAGTACTACGGCTTCCACAGAAGACATTTTTTTATGGATTTTTTGTCAAAGCACTTAAGATATTCATTGCTATCGGGATGTTAAGAGCATTCCATGGAATATAACAAAAAGTGTATCTCGAGCCGGTTTTTCAAACTTACCTACCCCACCTTTAAGTGATACATTTTTTTTTTGCCCAAAATATTTTCTCCTGTGTTGTGGTTGAAAAAAATAATTCAATTTTGTGAATCTGGTAAATAACCATGTTGTTCTCTCCTGGCAGAGCAAGCTCTACAGCCTACCAGCCGGTCACGCCAGTCGTGTGTATGAGCTGCTAATCAGCCACCTGCAGCTCCACTACAAGAACAAATACTGCTCAGCTATCGCTTGCAGCATCAGACTGCAGGTAAGGGGGTTCATCTTGTGTCTTTTACTCCCTTTGAAACAAACATGCATGTTGACTTATCATTTTAACTTCCTTCTCTCCTCCAGGTGTTTGACTTCTTCCTGATGATGCGAGTGGACTCTCTTCACCGCCTTGGTGTCCCCAACAAAGACGGGGTCCTGAGGTTTAGCCCTTACTGCTACTGTGACACAGGGTGAGGACGCACACGGCTCATATCATCTGCATCTGTTTTTCTCATAATAATCCAGTCAACTAAATCCTGTATTGACAGGATTTTAAATGGTGGTTTCAGGGAGCCAGAGAAGCGTGTCAGTGAGAAGAAGCCTGCAGGTTCAACATCTCCTCCTGCTGGCAGCCCTGCCCCCCTCACTGCTCCTTCAACAGCCTCCATCCGCTCGGCCTACCTGCCCTACGCACCAGCCTTCAATGTCCTCCTGCAGGGCCTGAAGATGGTACACAGAGAATTATTGTAGCAAACTCATCCAATGCAGTCTTGGTGCAGGGATGATGTATTGTTGTAGTTAAGAAGCTAGCACGCACTGGTTTTTCTTAAACATACAAACAATCTTTTGGAGTCTAAAGTGTCTATAATTCTTGTTCAGAATGATAATCTTTGCAAATGAACACCACTTCTATGTTCTTTGAAGTATAGATGCAATAGCCAGAAGTAAAAAGCTAACATTAGGCTGTAAATCAACTACAAAACGGTTGCATGGCTTCATAAACTGAATGCAGACTGCTGTTTGGTGTGATCACCTTTAAGGTCCCCGATAACCTATGTACTCTCATGTAGCATCGTGTTCACAACGGCCTTTTTAAAGACAGCTAAATACTTCAAGATTCCCGAGGGGGTATTTACGGCTGTAAAGTAAGTAAACGTTAAACCTGAATTGCAAAAATTCAACTAATTCCTGGATTAGGGACTCATTTCTAGAACCCTCTATTTCTTGGAGAGTTTGCAGCTGGGTATCGCTATAGTGTTTATTCTTCTTTGTAACAAAGGACTTTGCCAAGAGCATAGACTCACTCATAACTGATGGTTACATTGTTTTCAAAGCTGTCCTTTATGAGAAATAAGACATGGTTTCTGTTTCTGTTGCAGGAGACCGATTGGAAGGTGCTGAAGCTGGTTCTGGACAAGCTGCCGTGGACGCTGCAGTACAAAGTGCTGCTGCTCACATCCCCATGCAGCTTGGACCAGCTGTGCTCCACACTCTGCTGCATGGTAGAGCAAAAAAAAAGAGACATGTAAAACAAGTCTGTAAAGTGTAAACATATGAATTAACTTGCGTCTGTGTTCTGGTAGGTGACAGATCGGCTGATCTCGGAGCGTTTGAAGAAGACCCCAGACGGGTTTTCTCGCACTGACGTTCAGCTGGCGGTGGTTCCTGTTCTCACAGCCATCACCTCCTACCATAACTACCTGGAGCAGGCAAGACAGGTACAAATGATATGCTGTAGAGAATAATCAAGACATCTCAACAGGTTTCTAGCATGTTCTGAAGCTTGTGTGTTGGGTTTAATGACGGCCAGAAAATCCACATCTAGGCAACAGCGTCCCATTTACCAGCCCCGCTGCACACACAGGCAGATATTTCCATACTGTTATTCATTTCCTTTCCCCCCTACAGAGAGAACTGGTTCAGTGCCTCGAGACCGGCCTCATCTACCGCTGTGCCAAGCAGTGTGTGGTGGCGCTTACAATGTGCACGGTGGAGATGCCTGACATCATGATCAAGCTCCTCCCCGCTCTTATCGTCAAGCTCACCCACATCTCTGCCACTGTTGCCATGGCATCACCTATGCTCGAGTTCCTCTCCAGTGAGCACCAAAAGCTTTTTTCTCACAACTTCTTTTGTCATACGTTTCTCTAGCAATTGTTGAATGTTCAAGGCCAGTTAGTCACATCAAAGTTTTCTGTAGATAAAGAGTTATTTCTTTGTTCCGTTTCACAGCTCTGGTGCGCCTCCCACATCTGTACGCCAACTTTGTAGCTGAGCAGTATGTCAGCGTGTTTGCCATCTCTCTACCCTACACTAACCCTTCCAAGTAAGTGCTCACACACACACACACAAACACACACTTGTTCTTAAGCGACACAGACACACTCTGACCAGTTGGTTGCTTCCACTCTCCTCAGGTTCAACCAGTACATCGTATCCCTGGCCCACCATGTGATCGCCATGTGGTTCATACGCTGCAGACTCCCCTTCCGCAAAGACTTTGTTCAGTACATCACAAAGGTGTGTGCTTACTCATCTTCCTAACTTTATTGACTTATGTGCATATTTGTTTATATAAAGACACAAAAAAACACATACAAATTGATGTCAATAAAGTGCTCTTACTTGTGCACAAGCATTCAGAAAATTAAATCATTTCACGCTTGAAAAAAACATTTTACTTTCTAACTCTCATACCTAATCCTGTAAAGGAAGGACTTCCCGTATTCTTCAGTTCCTAATTTTTTAAAACTTTAGTCGACATAATGAGATTGTACATCAAAGGAATGGTTCAATATTTCTGGAAATATGCTTATTTGTTTTCTTCTAGGGTTATATCACAATGTTTATATTCTGTGTGTTGTGTTTGGAGCTACTGTTAGCAGGCAGTTAGCTTAGGATAAAAGCAGCAGGGACTCCAAAATGCCCCTCCGCCTTGGCACATACAGTAACCTCCCATAAAATCACAACTATTTGGCCCAAACTTTTGAACAGACCCTTATTTAAGCTGCATTAGTTTAGCATCTTTCTATCTTTACATTTACACCTTTGTCTGTGTCTCCAGGGTCTGCGCTCCAACGCCCTGCTGCCGTTCGATGACGGTCACGAGCAGAGTGCGTTTCGTGCCCGAAGCACCAGCCTCAACGAGCGGCCCAAGAGGTAAAGCATACGTACACATACACACACTGCTGCGAGTGCTCACATAGAAACCAGCACACATGGTCCATGTGGCCATTGTTGGGGTTGCCAAGGTAACAGGGGACTCAGCATGACTGGTACTGTGTCGTGACGGCTGCAGTGACTCTGCTCAGGTTGCCATGGTGTTTTAAGTTCATTTGTTTATGCTTTTGACATTTTGAAATGTGTTTTTTGTTTTTCTTCCACAATTAGTTTGTTGAAAAATCACTCATATTATAACATACAGGGGATGGACAAAATAACACGAACACCTGTATAATTCAATGTAATCCAATGATAAAGCCCTTCAGTTAAAGGGACATTTTTATTGGTTGTGATTCTTCACTGTTATAGTATTTAACTCTGTAGTATTAGTGTGTGCTTTGTAGTATTGGATTGCATTATATTGTCCAGATCTTTGTATTACTTTGTCCACCACCTGTATTATATAAGGATGATACAGAGCGGTAGCGTGGGGGGGAAGAACTATCTGTTTTTCTTTCCCCTGCTGTTACAACTCAACATCCACACTACATTTATCTGTTCACAAAGAGAAAAACACACTTTCACACAGAGGTGTAAGGAAGCTTTTCTCAGCAAGGCGCCATGCTAATCTGTACATAGCGTGAGTGTTTGTCGGTTTGTCCGTGTCTTCATTGCCCCAATAACTTGCGCTAAAAACATCCAAAGTAAATCATGACAAACACAGTCACAGGTGATCGCAGTATGAGGGAGGGGACTGAAAATAAGTATTAGTTGTAATGGCCGTAATGCAGAGTTCTGCCGAAAAATGGAAGGAGGATGTAGGCGACATTTTCAGTGTGGACAGAGATTTTTTTGTAAAAATGACCTATGACCAAAAGGCTCTGAATGAACAGGAGTGTCCCGCTTTAACCAATATTTCAACAGTGCACAATCTCTAAATATCTCAATATAGTTCGAGACCACACTATACTCCCCTAAAAAAATCTATAACTCTGCTTTCCCTTTCTTCCTCATTTTTTGCTTTAATGCCCATTGATTAATTGTAGCTTTTTAATGAATACCCTCTCCTCCTCTGTCGTGCAATTACACATGTTTTGCAAACATCTTTTTAGCCCTAGCCCCTCGTTGTTGGTTGGCCCACACCTATAGGTTTATAAAAAATAAATAAAAATACGTAAAAACACGCTTGCTGTCATTCCAATCAAGCAACCTTCCCGTACCAGCTTTTCATAATGACATAGTGTCTCTGCTTACATCAGTTTCTACTGATCTTCCATTTCATTTCCACATTTGTTATCATTCATCCAGTTATCCTTCCTTGTGCTTCTTATTGCCTGCTGTTGGGTTGGAGGGCTGCATGTCAGATTTCATATTTAATAAATATCCTTCTTCTGACAAATCCTTTATATATTGGAAAGCTTACATGTTTTCCAAAAGCCTTGATACATCTATCAAAGTACCGTTATGTTAATTAATTAGTGTTTACTCCAGGCATGCTGTGCTCCAACCCTCAGGTTTAACCCGGCATTTCATTTTCCGTTGGGTGTCATGTGTTTCTTCAGTTGTAACGTCAGGCCTGTGCTGAGTCCATCCCTACAGCTCTTCTTCTCCTGTACTAGTCCTTGGCTTCATTATGTACCTGCTCTGTGAAATAATGTTTATTTTGTTGCTCTCCTGAAAACTTTCTGTGTGTATTTTCTTTTCCGAGTAGCAGAAGCTGTTTACCCTCTGCTTCCTTTTTAAGTTGATGTTTTTTTATTTTACTCTTCTTTTTCTAACTCCGCTCTCCTGTGATCTGATTCATTGTGTTCACTGCTGTTAATTTTCACCTTGTTTTGTTTTCTTTCAACTCTTCATTTGACCCCCCCCCCCTCCCCTGCCTCCTGCGGTTGGGTTCTGCGTTGTGGTATTGGGGGGGGTGGTCGTGTCACCCTGGATCCCTCCTTCATTGCTCCTGGTCCCTCCCGTGTCATGTGACCTTTGACCTTTGTGGCCCCACATTGTGTCCCCTGCGTGTCGTGTGCCCTTTGCTCTGGTGTCAAATCCTGTTACCTGATACACCTCAATGCACCGTAACCCCCCCCCCCCCCCCCCCCCCCCCCCGAACACTCCCAAACCACCCTCACGATGACACACCCCCTTACTGCCCACTACCACCATATCACCGGGTCCGTTCCCCCTCGCCGTGCTTCATGGGTAATCCTCACCGCTCAGTATGCGGGCGGCGAAAGTGGCGAAGGCAGCGGCGGCGGTAGCCAATAGCAGCAGCTCTCCAGTTAAAGAGCTGAGGGACCTTTCGGCCATGGACGCTTTCCGCTCCCGCAGCATCAGTGTCTCGGAACACGCGGTTCGCAGGTTAGAGAAGAGCCTTCTGGGTAACCTAACCCAGAATAACACAACAGCCACCCAAACACTTGTTGCTTCCTCCATGGGATGATTGAGGGGGGTGTAGGGTCATTGTCATGTGGGTCTGTGGGGGGGCGTTGGGTGGTTGGTTGCCAGGGACACCTGGAGCGGGTGGTGCATGCTGGAGGAAGGTTTGTGTGTCGACTTTTTGTTTGGGCTGCGATCGTACACATGCTGTTTGTTTTACATTTTTGGCTTATGATTTGGTTTTGCATGCAGTGTTTGCAGAAGATGTCGGAAAAACATTTGATGGTTTTCTGTTTTCTTCTAACACAGATTTAGCTTTGATTTTCAGTCAATTTGAATTTGACTTTTTGTTTTGCTGGGTGTTTTGCTAACTGGTTTTGATTGGCCTAACAACTAATGAATGGCAGGAGGGACTGCTGCAAAGCATGTGATTTCAAACTGATGGGATCTTATTATGATTGACATCCACCTATAACTCCGCTTCCCTTTTGCTCTGGCGGGGGGGGCACTTCTGCTTGCTCGCCCAGCGACCGAGACAACAGCATCACAACAGCTCTGTTTGCTTGCCTGACATATTTTTGTTTTGCTAGACTGACAAACATACACTGTGCTGCTTAAACCATGGCAATCTTCCAGTGTGGCATTTCTAGACTAACTCTGACATTGTGAATGATTACACACTGAAATCACCTCACACACCTCCGCCTGACTTAGCTTCACCCCTTTAATGCTGACCTCTTCTTGGCTGACTGACAGATGTGTGATCTAACACTGCAGTTGTCAGACGTGGCTGCAGTGCCACTTTATTAAACATGTCCTTCCCCTCCTGCCAGACAGATGGCAGCAAAGGCCCAGTACTTTAATGTCTGATGGGGCTCTATGTAATTTAATTTCAGTGACACATGGCACTTTATCAAACTAAACAACTGCAGTGTGGATCTATTTAACCCGCTTCAACTGCTCAACAGCTGCAAATCTGCTTTTTCTCAACGTTGGTGTCTTGACTTGTAACACCTGAGTTAGATGAAACCCTTTTTTCCTGCGCATACTTCAGGCAACATGACCATGTTTTTTCACGTTTTTCTTTTTTTACAGATTTTCATAAATCTCTCGTATCGAAAATTATTATCTTTTTGTTTTGTAATTCTTATTACTTGCAGCCATACTGAGAGTTTGACTGTGTCTGCAGTCAAAAAGCAAAGCATTAAACTCTCATAAAAGCCATTATACTCAGCTTTAGTTTGAATTGGGTGAAAAAAAGATGAATGAAATATTACAAAGCCGTGAACACAGCACTCTGTTTCAGTCGTGAGCATCTCATGGTCATGTTGTTTGGAGAATGTGTGTACTAGAAATTGAAGTGGAAAATGAATCATGACAGATGCAGAAAGGTAAGTACAAAATCTGTGGAAAAGTTGTTTATTCACACACTGGGAGTTGGTCCAAGGGAGAGATTTTATTTTTTGAACTAATTAATCTGCAGCTGTATTAAAAAAACAGACATTGTATCCTTAAATCTCTCAGATTAGGTCAGTGTTTTACGGTGTGCATATATTTCCATTTATAAACCATTTTATTGAATATGTAGTGTATTCTTTAAAGTAGTGGTTTTAGAAAATAATGATACACTTAGGAATATTGATATTATGAGCTGTGATACTGAATGGATTTTAAATAATGTAGAAGATGATTGCATAAAGTGGCTCAGTGCACAAGAAATAGATGTTGAATAAAAAAAAGAAATTTGGAAAATGCAGAACACAAATTATTTAGATTTTAGTTTAATCGCAGTGTGCTCTTTATACTATGAGGTTCTCCAGAAATGTAGATAGAAAACTTGTTATATATCGCCTTGCCTTAAAGTATCACAACATATTGAAACGTAACCATAATTCATATTGTTTAGCAGAAATGTTGCTACCCTAATTTATACTGCAGATTACATGGCTAAAACAAGGAGAGCTAAAACGATTAACCATTATAGATCCACCAAGGACAGATGTTCCTCTTGCACTGTTCTCTTATACATACATAGTTATTTCCTGTCTTTTATATTTGTTTCTTTGTTTAACATTTTGGTTTTATTTGAGAGTCTGTGAGCATGGAAACAGTCCGCTCCCCACAGAGACAGACAGAGACTTCACAGTTGGGCTCAGAGTCGTGAATTGTTCATTTTGAGAGCATCTTCTTCTGAGCAGCAGGCCAATGTGGCTTTCATTTGAACTGAAGCATCTCTTAAACCCTGATTGAGACTGATGTTAAAACCTCTAAAGGTGCTTTTAACCTGATTGGCCCGTGGAGCCCGCAGTAATGGTTGTTGTGGATACAAAGAGCTGCTGCTCACGCCACAGTAAACACTTATATAAAGACTTGGCTGCTGCGGCGATAATAATGAAAACACATTCACTCACACACAACCTGCTGGTTTCTCTGCAGTCCTGTGACTTACTTACCATCCAACCATGTTGCTGCATATATCCCTTCTGCCTCCTACACAGAGCTTAACTGCAGTAAGCAGTCCTCTTAAACCATGTCCCAGTGTGTGTTTGTGTGAACATGTAATTATCTGTTGGGTCGTTTCCTTATATACACACGTGGATGCATGTGTGCATATAAATGATTGTGTCGCATGTGAAAAATGTTTGTTTGTGCCATTTTTGTGACGTCCTGCATGTTCTCTGTGTGCACTGATATATATATATATATATATATCTGAAGCCTGAGCGCCTGCCTCTTCCTCCTCTGCTCTTCTTTCTGTTTCCTAACCTTCCCTGGGTCTCCTGCAGGATGCACACCTCCACCACCACCTGCTCTCTGGGCTCCGCTGATGAAAACGCGGTGACTCCGGCGGACGAGGGTCTGAAGACTGTCCACCTGGAGCTCACTGAGACCTGTCTGGACATGATGGCACGATATGTCTTTTCCAACTTCTCCGCCCTGCCCAAAAGGTCAGCATTTTTTTTTTTTAAATCCGTATGTGTGTATGGCTTTTCAAAATGGTTGTGTGTTGTAAAAAAGAATTCAAAAAAATGTCAGTCATGAAATGTATCATTTTTGTCCTCTTAGGTCTCCCATTGCAGAGTTCCTTTTAACGGGGGGTCGCAGTATGACCTGGCTGGTGGGCAACAAGCTGGTGACCATAACAACCAGCGGAGGGGTCAGAGCGCAGGCGCTGCTGGGCCTGGACATGGCCGAGCGGCTGGGAGGAGGAGGGGAGATGACCAGGTGAAGAACTTTCAAACACACACAGGAAAAATTAAGCAATTCTTTTATATGGAATTTGGACCTGATATTCATGTTCCCCTGAGGATAAATCCTAATGATTGAGGTGCTTTCCTGCTTTTTCATCTATTGCTATTTAAAAGGCAACATTTGAATTTTCCCACACTTTTGTTTATGATCAACTGCCTGTAAAACTAATGAGACTCCCATCAGCCTCAGCCATACTGTTTGTGTAGCGCTAACCAGCTAATGCCACAGGCTAAACTAAGTTAATGAAATGGTGTATAAGTAAACATTACATCTGCTTAAAATCTACATTTCCGAGTGTTAGCATGCTGACGTTAGCATCTAGCTCGAAGCTTTGCTGGGCCTAAATACAACCTCACAGAGCTGTTAGCGTGTCAGTAGAGTTTCACTCTTGTTAGCGGCTTGTAATGCATTTCCTCACCTGGTGCTGCAGGTCAGACCCATCCCTCCACACCCGAATCACCAAAGAGGCTCCGGCCAAACTGGAGTCACAGTCGAGTCAGCAGCACAACAGAGCCACGCGCATACGGGTCCGCTCCATGTCAGGTAATACACGCGCTTCAGGACTTGGAGCATCCCATAATGCACCACCTCCTCTCTTTATTTCCTATTTCCTATTCCAATGTCATTTTCTATGACTATACAAGCTTTCTTGCATATTGCTGCCAAAATTACCCATTTACAGTTAGTGCTATTTTCTAAAATCAAAATTTGAAACCTCTTTGGAAGAGCAGACGAATTAGAAACAATCATAGGAGCTTTTATCCTCCACAGATCTGCAGACATGCTTTAAACTGCGCCTGCCTCCGTTATGCCATTGTTTTTAAACTGCATCGCACTCTGATACCTGCCATGTAACAGAAAATGAGTGGCATTATTTACAATGATTCCATATTGACTCTAAGTGGATGGAAAGTGCCTTTTCTTCTTATCTCTCATTTCCCATGCATTATTGACGTATTTGTGAGCTATGGATATGATATCAGTGGAACTGGATTACGTGAGGAATCATAAATAGATTTAGTTGCCCGTTTATTTTAATAATGTCAAGCTTTAGTCAGAGTGTAAACGGAACATTTAGAGTGATAATTCCATAAGTGACGCTCATTTATAACCAACATTTATGATTTAAAAAGATAAAATAATTAAAATCTGAAAATAACTAAATCTAAACAATAAAAAAAAAGAAAACAATGTAAATCTAAAAATAATCCAAGTCCAAACAATTTCAAAATAATTTAAAAAGGGAGAAGAGCTGATGATGATGACGAAGATGATGATGATGATGATGGTGACCCTCCTCTCTCTCTTCAGGGGGCCATGCTCTCCGTGCCGGTCCTGCTCAGAGCCTCAGTCCTCTGGTGTCCCCCTCTGAGGGCGAGCTAGCTGCTCCGCTCTCCCCCCCCTCTGTCTCCACCCTGGATGGTCTGGGCCCCCCCCCCTCCTCCTCCTCCTCCTCTGCGGCCCCCTCTGCCCCCCCGCCTCTCAGAGACAACCCCAGCCTGGCTGAGTTCATCCCCATGCTCACTCAGGGCTGGGCAGAGATCTTCATACGGAGGCCGTCAGGTATGCAAGCCGCACTTCACACAAAGGGGGATTTTATTCTTCATTATTATTATTATTTCAATTATTATTAACAAAAGACCAGTTGACTTGAAATTAACTTTATGTAAGAATACAATGCATTGTTTGTGAACCTTGTGCTTTCATCTTTGTACCGTTAAGGCCGTCCTTGGTTTTTGGTTTTGTTAACTTGAAACATCCACAAGGTTATAAAACAGACTCTTACATTTCTTTTTAACGTTTTTTTTTTTAATCTAAGAGCACCCTGTTAGATTTGGAATCTGCCTTCTATTGAACTTTTAGCAATTTTAAACTTTCCTCCTGTCTCTCTCTCTCTGTCGTCCCAGGCAACACGAGCTGGCTGATGTGTCTGGAGAACCCTCCCAGTCCCTTCTCCTCGGAGCTGGGCAACATGCCTCTGCAGGAGCTCTCCACCGTCCTCATGGGGATGGAGGGGGTGAAGGAGCCCCCGGCCCAGACCGCCAGCGCCCCCGCCAGCACCGCGGCCCCCGCCCCCGAGCTGCCGACACACAGCAGCGTCGGAGGGAAGCCCAACCTGATCCAGCGCTCCAACACCGGTGAGAGAAACTCAGAAACCTCAGAATCCTGTCGGTGGATGTTATCAAGTGCTGGGTATTCAACATTTTAAGATTAGAAAAATATATTTGTGCTGTCAATCACAGGGTGTTTATCTACAGGGCCGAACATTATAATGGTCCAATAAATGTAATGATACGCATGAAAGCATCCCGTCCGCCTGAGTGCCTGTCTTCATTGTAAGCATTTAATAGTGAGGTAAGTGCAAACTGCCTGTCTATATTCTATCTCAACCCGAGGAGGATCAATAGGCCAGCCTGGATTTGCTCGGGTCGTTGATCGTGAGTTCTCATGCTTTCTGAATCTTGTACCTTTGTTCATTTTCTCTCTTCCTCTGAGGGTTCTGCCTCCCCTTATGCATCTTCACATTTTCTCTCTTCCTCTGAGGGTTCTTCCTCCCCTTATGCATCTTCACATTTTCTCTCTTCCTCTGAGGGTTCTGCCTCCCCTTATGCATCTTCACATTTTCTCTCTTCCTCTGAGGGTTCTTCCTCCCCTTATGCATCTTCACATTTTCTCTCTTCCTCTGAGGGTTCTTCCTCCCCTTATGCATCTTCACATTTTCTCTCTTCCTCTGAGGGTTCTGCCTCCCCTTATGCATCTTCACATTTTCTCTCTTCCTCTGAGGGTTCTTCCTCCCCTTATGCATCTTCACATTTTCTCTTCAGTGTTTCCCCTAGGATGGAGTCATAGCAGCGGTGCTAAGGCACGCGGGCCGAGCAAAATGTGAGCGCGGAGCGCGTGGAACTTTTTTGTGTGTGCGCGTGCAAAGTGCACCACGCCAATATGTTTCTGTGGGTGTTTCTCAATGTCGAGGACGCTTCCTTGGTAGGACATGTCTTCCGAGTCACTTCCTTCAGAAGCGAGGCAAGAATCCTTCCTAGCCTCGTAAAATGAAGAATGGTGGAACAGGCTAACAGGTGTGCAGGGGTGCGTCAAATGCGAGGCCCCGCCTTAAATGGAGCGCTATTCCCGCCAAAGATTTGGAAATTGGTCCGTGTGCAAAGCATTGTGGGGATTTTAAGACCGCGGAGGATACACATGTGCAGCCTCGAAATTTCTCGCTACGAAGTATGCCGGGCTCGGTAGAATTTCAAGGAGCCTGGACATTGGAACAGTCCTTCGGCGGGACTCGATGACGTAGCATCCTTGAAATAGTGGCTCTGGAGCATCCTTCCTTGTCATTGAGAAACACCCACTGTGTCTGCCAGCACAAGAAAGGCTCTTGAGGCCTAGTACATTCAGGGTGTTTCTCAATGTCGAGGACGCTTGCTTGGTAGCACATGTCTTCCGAGTCACTTCCTTCAGAAGCTAGGCAAGAATCCTTCCTGGCATTCGGAAAAGGAAGAGTGGAACACGCTAGCAAGTGTGCAGGTGTGCGTCATATGAGAGGCCCCGCCTTACATTTTCCACCACAGATTTTGGGAAATTGGTCCGTGCGCAAAGCATTGTGGGGATTTTAAGACCGCGGAGTCTACACATGTGCAGCCTCGAAATTTCTCGCTACGAAGTACGCTGGGCTCGGTAGAATTCCAAGTATGCTGGACATTGGAACAGTCCTTCGGCGGCACTCGATGACGTAGTATGCTTGAAATAGTGGCTCTGGAGCAGCTTTACTCGACATTGAGAAACACCCACAGTGGCAATGTCTCAAGATTTAGTAAAATACACCTTTATTGAACATACAGTAACACAAATACTACAAATCCACATAACAAACAATCAAGAATCAAAAAGGGTCGCCACTTATTATTTTAATAAATAAATTAAAAAGAATTCTCCTCATCAGCCCATCTTTTTTCTTCTCTTCTTCTTTCACTATGTCTTCTTTTCTCACTGCATTTGAGATATTTGTTTTCCTATGTTCTGATTGGTTTGTTTTCATGTTTTCCACCCTCACCCCCATGCTGGTTTGTCCCCTGCTGTCCCGCCTGTAGTGGGCGGCTCTCTCTGGTCTCTGGGTTCGGGCTCCGGCCCCCCAGGCCCCCCGGCCCCCGGCAGGTTGCACAGGAGCATTTCCTGGGCAGGTACCGTCCAACACATGTGTGCCCCCACAAGCCCCCCCCCTCCAGAAAACTCCTGGAGTAGTGTATTTCTTCTCACTTGCACAATACAGTGATCTGCCAGCACAAACTGAAAAGGACATTTGATCGTCAGTTTTCACTAAATCCCCTTTAGTGGAAGTTAACATTTTGTCTGAAACAGTCAAACATTATCCTATACTTGTTAAAAACCGTCAAAGGTCAAAAGCAGCAATACTGTTTTCTTAATAATCTGTTTTAAAGCCAATGGGATATATATGCTTATCCTATTTTTTGATGACCATCACACGAGATACATGGATGATCTCCCTCTTCTTGAGAGTGGTCTCAGAAAGAAACTATTAAGTGTATTTCCCAAAAATGTCAACATTTTCCCTTAATTATAACTGTAATATGTGTAGCAGTTCATTTCTCCATTTAGCAGACCCCCCATGCATACTTTTACCAGATAACTCCACACGCCTGCTGCTTTACACTCTACAATTGTGCAAGTGAAAGAATTCAGCATTTCTGCTTCACCCATCAGACTCCTATTAACCCGGGAGGGAGGGTCCTCAACAGAGATCTGTAAACTACCTTCATCGGATCAATCACTCCAATGACACCTAAAGATGGATCGTGATTCATTTCACTCCTTACCTGATTTGTTTTCCCCTCCTAATCCTTTTTCTCTAACTCTCTGTCACGGAAATATACTCCCAGGTTGAGCTTTTAACCTTTGACCCCCTCATGTTGTCAACAGGAATGCCCAGACCTCATCTGACTAACACGCTCCTCCGTGCCTGACCTCTAAGAAGGGCGATAAAGACATTTTTTAACACTCAAGTGTCAAAAAGACCTAAATACGTCATCTTCTCCTTTGAGAGTGTTCATTATGGGATGCAGGACTTGGTCTGGGCTGCTGTTGCAGACGCTGCAGTGTGTTTGGCTCCAGATAACCAACCAACCAAACAGATGCATGATGGGAAAATCAAGTAGATGAGATGTGAATGAAAGCTGCCTGCTGCTCTCTGATCTCAGTGTCCGACTCTCGCAATGTCGATTTATTTGCACGCGTGTGTGTTTCCATGACTACCTTTTGAGTGTGTTTGATCAATCAATACAACTGATTTTCTTTCATGTTACCACGACTAGAATAGATTTGAGAGAGAATGTGTCAACAGTCTACTGACAGCTTTAATGACATTGGTGATTTTTCTATCTAACAGTTGTGTGAGAGGATTGGGTTAGGGGACAACCGTGTGTGTGTGTGTGTGTGTATCCACTTATGGTTGTTGCTGTGTCCTGCTGTAGACTCTGTAGTGGTGCTGGAGGAGGGGTCAGGGGTCACCGCAGCACAAACTCCTGATTGGCTCGAGAGTGAAGAGTTTGAGCCAATGCCGTCTGATCCCATCTTCATGTCTGCAGACAAGTTCACCAAGACCCCCCCCCCTGGAACGCTCAGCAGGGTAGGTAGTCGCTGCCATCTCTGAAATCTGCACAAATGTTTGCATCATTTACTATGGCGAGTAATCAAAGTACCATGTGTACCAACCTAGTAAACAATAGGCACTGAGCAACATTCATTCACACACAGGTTTTCTGCTCACACTAACAAGCTGTGAAAAGATGAAATTAGGGTTTTTCCACACATTATCTGCTGATAAGAGATTAAACACCAGCTACTCTCTCTTTAAGTGGGGTTCCCCTCCCTTGCTCCTGCATAACAAGTGGAATGCCAGCCAAATGGAGCACAGCCAGCATTTTCATTCAGAAGGATTTGTCCTTGAAGTTTTGCATGTCTTAGCGAAAGCTGTTTAGCTGAAACGGGATCCAGTGTTCTCTTTCCTGTTTTAAAATAGCCTCCTCTCATCTCTCTCTTTCAGTCCTCCTCAACCTCCAGTCAAGATGATGAGAAGTCCACACTGGAGGAAGTAAGTGAGGGAGCGATTCCAATCGATCAGCCCACTATGGGACCCTCCACCCCGGGCAGCCAGGGGCCTGAACTCCCCTTCCAGAGCCACTCTCCGTCCCAGGGCCACGGCCTCAACAAGTCCAGCTCCTCCCCGGAGCTCCAGACCCTACCGGAGGCCTTCTCCAAGGCAGCTCTGGAGTCTCAGGCTGCGCTAGTAGAACCATCGGCCCCCAAAGCCCCCGCAGACAGCAAGCCCCCGCCCCAGCAGCTGCAGTCTGAGAAGGAGAAGGTGGAGGGGGGCACAGGAGGGGACACTAATGGACTCGGAAGTCAGAGTCAAGGCAGTGACAGCCCTGTAGTGTCTTCTCTAGGTGGGGGAGCGAGGATGAGGTTGGAGTTTCCGGCCCCAGCGGCACCATCCGGACCCATCTCCCCCGGCGGAGGCCACCGACCCCGGGGCCACACCATCTCAGTGTCAGCCCCCTCCTCCAGGAGGGAGAGGAGGACGGAGAGAGACTCGTACACCAGCCGGCCCGGACCCAGCACCACAGAGAAGATCTCTGGACTCAGCCCGAGGTAACACCAGTCACATGACCTGCTGCAGCCTCTGGCGCCTCTTTCTGACAAATAAGAGACGCGGTCTATCCTCTAAGTCAGCAAGCTCATCTCTGCTTTGATGTTAAGACCATGAAGAAAGTCTAATCATGTTTTACAGCCGAGAAATAATTGTAGTAGAGTAGTTTGAATCTTCACTCATAAAGTAATCGACATTTAAGTATGTTTTTCTGTTTTTTTTATGTGTAGACAGATGCAGACACATTTTGAATTATTATTATTAGAAGTATAATTAGTTTAATCTTAAAGGTGGGGTAGGTAAGTTTGAGAAACCGGCTCGAGATACACTTGTTGTTATATTCCATGGAATGCTCTTAACATCCCGATAGCAATGAATATCTTAAGTGCTTTGACAAAAAATCCATAAAAAAATGTCATCTGTGGAAGCCGTGGCACTGTAAAAAGCATGACCAATCATTTTAGCCGGCCCGGCTAAAATAACTGGATGGCCTACCTGCCTGTCAGCCTTCCATCTGTGCACAAACTTATCTCGTGCCCTCATTGGTCATGTGTGCGTTCGCGTGTGTTGGAGGAGGGGCTCTGTAAGGAAGTGGCAGATTTTTTCCGGCTGTGTATTTTCAAATTCTAGCGATCTCGAGCCGGTTTCTCCAGAATTACCTACCCCAACTTTAATATACCTTAAAAAGGTCATAACAAAGTCAAACTTTAGTATGTCAGAAACATTTCAAAGTATAGTAAGTCATTATGTCAAGGATAGAAATGTCTTGGTCCATAATAAATCAAACATAGTGGGTCATAAACAAGTTAAAGTATTATGTCATAAAACATGTTTTTTATTTGTATGCCATAAAGGTATACTATAGTTATACCAAAAAAGTCATAGTAAATTATGCCTGAAAAGTGGTCATAAAAAAGTAATGGTATAGTATGTATACAAATACCATGTATCTATTCATATTAAAGGGACTCCGTCTTCTTCTGTCTCCCACAGCTTCGTCTTCCTCCAGCTCTACCACTCTCCTTTCTTCGGGAACGAAGCCAACAAGCCTCTGCTGCTGCCCAAAACTCAGGTCAGCTGACTGCTCTGGCTGACCTGGAAAATAAAAATACACTTTTGACTCAGTGCCCTTCACAACGCTCTCTCTATCTCTGCTGTAGGTGATCGACCGCGCCGTGAAGGTCCTGGACCAGATGCCTCCGTACGACACCCACAAGATCGGGGTGGTGTTCGTCGGGGCCGGTCAGGTCAACAACGAGGTCGCCATCCTGTCCAACGAGTACGGGTCCAACCGCTACGCTGCCTTCCTCACAGGCCTGGGCAAACTAATCCATCTGAAGGACTGCGACCCCGACCAGATCTTCCTCGGAGGGCTGGACCAGTACGGAGACGACGGAGAGTTCACCTACTGTTGGCATGACGACATCATGCAGGGTGAGCACCTTAATGGTCATTTAGCAAATATACGTTTTTCCCGCCTGCTTGTTCTTAATGAAATCTCTTCTCTGCAGCCATCTTCCACATTGCCACTCTGATGCCCAACAAGGAGAGCGACAAGGGCTGCTGCAACAAAAAGAGACACATTGGCAACGACTTTGTCATGGTGGTGTACAACGACTCTGGAGAGGAGTACAAGCTGGGCACCATTAAGGTACATGGGCAGACAGACACAGTACATGTGTGTCTCTGCAGTATATATTGTTTATTCATTCTCTCGTCTTCTGCTTCTCCTTCTATTAGGGTCAGTTTAATTTTGTAGAAGTCATCATTAAACCGCTGGATTATGACTGTAACCTGGTGACCCTCCAGTGCCGCAAGGGTGAGTCGATCACCGTGTTCCTCCGCTCATGTTCCTGGCCGTTGTGTTTTTCTTTAACTCCTTCTGTTGCTTCTCTTTCAGACCTGGAGGGACTAGTTGACACAACGGTGGCAAAAATCGTTTCAGACCGCAACCTCCCTCTCTTAGTCCGACAGATGGCTCTGCATGCAAATGTAAGTCTTGCACCTTATCTCTCACTCTCAGCTCGAGTCACACGTACACACAAATCCATATTTACTCTTCTTCTTCTTCTTCTACAGATGGCCTCTCTGGTGCATCAGTTCAGAGCCAACCCATCTGATGCCTACGCTTCCAAGTGGCTGGCGAGGTTGCGGCACATTAAAAGGATCCGGACCAGGGTGAGAAGAGGCTCTCCTTCATCAATGTCACTGCTTTTATTCCAAAGTATTTGACCTCTTTAACCATGTCTCTCTGCTCTGTCTTAGGCCCAGGAGGACATCCAGTCTCGTGCAACTCCCGGCATCTCACTGACCCAGGGTCACACGCAACAAAACAAGTCCTTTCAGCAGAGCAGTCAGAACACGGAAGTTTCCGGCCAGAGGAAAAGACTTGTCTCGACTGTGGACGATTTTACGGACTTTGTTTGAATGGGTTTCTTGGCCTGGTAGAAACACACACACACACACCTGCCTTAGAGCTGAGGTCGGTTTACTTTCAGTTCTGAGTGGAAGAATTCAAGATGACACGCTGATTTCAACTTTCCCAGTTTGTATCGGCAAGAGCTTCACGGTACCATAAAAGCTTATTTTGTGATGAAGTATTGATATGTGAAGACATTTCTGCATATTTTTCGAAAAATGCTAACGCTTTGCACTTTTAAAGTCTAATCATAATGTTTCCGATGTGCAACATGAGATGAGTAAAAGCTGTACAGAACACTACGTTCGAGAGCAGGATGTGTTTGTGAGTAAAAATATGTGGAATAAAAAAGTGGAGATTATTTAGGTTTGGTATCCGGAATATGTGAATTGTTCGACCTACTAAACAAGTTTTTTTTGAAGCGATGACATCTTTAACATACTTCACTACTTATATATTTTTGGACACGGTCATCACTGCTTGCAGCTTTAACTTATTTAACATTCGTCACAAAAAACTGTTATATCATCAACACTTTAGCTGTCAAACTCTTTATTCGACTTTGTCAAGTGCAAAAGCAGGAGAAGTGCTACAACTGCAAAATACAGACATGAGATACAAAGAATAGACACATGTTTTCAAACTGATTTGTGATTTGTTTTAGGACAAAAAGCATCGTACCACACAAAGACATGGAGGCGGGCTTTGGCACTAGCTTGTTACACACAGAGCAGAATAAGAGAGCCAGTGGAGGCCTGCTGCGCTTCCTGGTGTTTAGAGTTGGCTTACTGTGAACACATATTCATATTACACACATTTATAGCTTTGGCTGTAGTGCTTTCTGTTAGATTGGAGAAATGTAAAACTTTGGGGTTTGCAACACCAGTGCTTGACCTAATGCATATGCTACTGCAGCACATAAACAATACTGATAATGAAAAGCAAAAATATATACACCACGAAGCACCAATATATACAGAAATGTACACACAGGGAGGAAGAAGGGTATTTTTTCTTGAGCCTGAACTGTGAGACTTCTTCAGAAATGATTAAGGGATTAATACAGGCGGGGTTTAATTGTAAGAGACACTCTTTTCTCAAATTCTTTTAAAACCCATGAAAATAAGGGCGTTCACACATAGCTACCAATTTACGTCTGGGAGAAGGAAGATAAAGTCACCACTAAATGTTTCCTCAGATTATTAAAAGCACCTATGTTTTGGTTTCCCTGTCCAGGTTATGGGGCAAAAGGGTGGGTTCCCTGAGATCTGCCCACTGGACACAGGAAGTACGATTACATGTTAATAAAACATAACAAAAACAGGAACAACAAGCAGACAAAAGTACACACACACACACAAAAAGTCTAGCTGTGGCTGTAACACCTTGATAATACTTACTAGGATGTTATTATAATGTGTTAATGACAACATGAGAGTTAAATATGGCATATCAGCTCCATTAGGAAATAAAGTGCTAAGTACAAAACGAAAGGTTACTTGGCATGGTAAAACTCGGAATGCATACATAAGCTTTGGCAACGTTTATAGTTTAGATACAGTATGAGTGAAGCTTTCTCTGTTGGTTCGGACACCAAGCTTATTATTCAGGACCACAATACAAAAAATAAAACAGAAAAAAAGTGCTTATCACGACCATATCGAACACAAAAGATAATCAGACTGGGAGTCAGTATAGCTTTATGATGGGAGAACTAAATGTTCCTTTCTGCTTTCTCAACTTTTGTTTATTCTAACGCTCTTTAGCTAGTTTTCTCTGTGCTACGCCTCCTTCTCGTCACTACTTGTGCCTTCCCTTTCTCCATACTCTGGACGGTTATACCTGCACCCGGAAGGAGAGGCTGCTGGGACCCCAACAGCCTTGTGTGCGTGTGTTTGTGTGTACATGTTTCCTCTCTTGTACCTCAGTGGAGCTGGAGTGGATGGCGCGTTACATTAGCGCGTCTGTGCCTACAGTGTTATTCCCATGCACGTGTACACCTGCATGTGCTTATATCTGTGTGCCTGCATGCAAACTAAGGGTCCATGAAACACAACTATTTTTCAAACAGGCCACAAGTACCCATGGTGACCGAAATATACAATATAAAAAATACGAAGACGGACGACATAGCTGAGAAATCAACGTGATTTTTCTGAGATACACAAAAAGTGGGATGGCGTAGTTGTAATCCTTGGGTGAGTACGTTCATGCACTCCTGTCAGTGATGACCCCACGTGACCTCCAGGGTCACGTGGGGTCATTTTTAGTCTGGGGAAATGAGGAATAAAAGCATTTCTTGGTGTCAATGTTTTACTTCACTGACTAAACCCAGCTCAGTTAGCATCTGGTTCCCTGCACCTAGCTTCTGAGAGTGGGATTTGGACGGATTTCTGCTTATAAACCTGCAAAGTATTTGTACTGCTTTCTGTTCCTCCTTCATCGCCCCATCTGCTGTCTCTGGGATTCTTCTTCTTTTCTTTCTGCACTTTTACTTTCTAATCCACTCAGTTCTCTCTTCCTGGGTCTAGAGAGGGGCCCCTCGGGGACAGAACCTGCTGCCCCCGTCCTCCTCTCGTCCTTAACCCAACATTTTTTTCTACATCTTCTTTTCACAACCATATCAATGCTCCTCAGGTTTTGGGGTGTCCGGGGCCCTGCCTGTCTAGGTTTGGGTGCACCTTGTTTTTGAGGGGTGGGGGTTTACGTTTCCGCTTGCGTGTTGGAATGGTGGTCGTGTGAGCCGGGTGGTTGAACAGGCTGGAGGAGGGGGGCTCCCAGTCCCGGCTACTGGGCGTCGGAGCAGGGGTGGGTGGTGAGGAAGGGGTAGGAGCGGGGGTACATGGGGGTGCAGAGGGGGGTCTGGGCTGCGGGACATGAGAAGGGGGAGTGATTTCTGAAGGGACAGGTGGAGGGGGGGTGTCAGAGGCAGGTTTATCTGCGACCGGTGTAGGTGGAGGAGCACTGACTGCTGGGGGAGCGGGGGTGTGTGCAGCGGCAGAGGAGGGTCTGGGCTTCAGAACGGGTGTAGCTGCTGGAGTCTTTTTGGGGTTGACGGCGGTGTTTCCGTCGTCCTTCAGAAGTTCACTTTTATCCGTCTTTTTCCCCTTTTTGCTCCCTTTGTGTTTTTCCTTGCCGCTCTTCCTCCATCCAGCGGAGTCCTCGTCCTTTCCTCCCTGTCCCGCCTCGCCCCTCCCTCCCTGACCTCCCCTCTCTCTCCCTCTACGCCTTCTCTTCCTCTGGGTTTTCTCCAGTCTACACTCAATGTGGTACAGATCCTCTGTTGCCATGGTGACGCGGTCAAGCTGTTGCAGCAGGGCGTCCAGGGTGGGGTGGAGCCTCCGCAGAGACGCTTCGGTCTCGGCTCTCTCGCGCCAGCTGGTGCTCCCCGTCTCCACCCCCGGGCCGAGCCCCAGACCCAGGCCCAGCCCGAGGCCCAGGCCGATCCCCGGGGCCTCCGTCAGGCTGCAGGGGCTGGAGGAGGCTGGGCGCCATGAGGCCTCAGAGCCCGCATCGATGCTGTCGGGTGATGGAGGCGAGTCGGGACCGTCCAGCGGGGGGAGGCAGAGGGACTTACAGTCGCTGGTGGAGGACGCACGGGAGGGGGGGAGCTCCATGCCCTCGAAACGCACCTTGTGACGAAACTAAGGAACAGAGAAGATGGAGGATTAGGAGGGGACATGTGAGGCGTAATGTATTTCTTTCTGCACTGCACTATAGAGAAGCATGTACCTCCTTGGCCCTGCTGAGTCCCATCCACATTTTGAGCCGCCTGAGGAACAGCTCGACCATCTCGTAGTCCTGGAGATCCACGGCGGGGCGGTACAGCTCCGCTCGGGCGCGCCGGTAGTTCCTCAGGATCACCGAGGTGACCAACCACAGCAACACCAGCCGCAGCACGGCGAAGCTGGCGTGGAACACCAGCGCAGAGACGCTGCTGGAGGGGCCTGTAGTCGCCCAGCTGGGTCGCCATGACAGCAGACCGCGGCCGCCAGCGCCTAGCAACGACAGGCAGGCGGAGCTCACACTGCCGTAGCCACCATACACCGAGTGGAGGAGCTGGAGGAGAGGAGAAACAGGAGGGAAGTGTTCAAGCAGCTAGTTTCTCATAGTGCTTAAAAGCCAATCACAACAGAGGCCAATCAAAAATCGCTTCACTGCAATGATCAAGAACTTGTGAACCAATAACTCAATGACTGAATAAGTGAGGGGCTTCAACATCGACTTAACTGTGTGTAATAAAAACAAACTTAAATAATTAAATCTTTAATGGTAGCTGCTGGAGAGAGAAAAACCCCAGAGTTGTGTGAGGCATTTTAGACCCATTGGAGGTGAGCCATACTCAAGACAAGCAAGCAAACAAAACATTGTGGTGTTTCTGGAATGATGACACAAATACGTAGATAAAATAGTTTTTACGGGATACAGTGTTTTGTTGTTGGTAACATTGTGTATACAATCAAAGCTTTCCCTCTGGTTTTATAAATGTTGAATAAATGTCCTCTTTCAGTCATTTAGCAGCACAGAAACCGTGTGGCTGCCATAATAGTTGTTCCAACACAACATCACACTGTGTCGTGCTTTCTGTGCTAAAGTGAAGGATTACTGGAGACACCGTTGACTGCCACTGTAAAGAAGGTGTGGGCAGTTATTATTTCAACAGAGAAAACCTTACCATAGAAGGTAAAAAAATACGTGGGCGGTTATTTTCTTGTACGTTGTGTACTATGCAAAACTGTGTAGTTTGTTTTGTCTGTGTTTGGGGGCGGAGGAGCGAGAGAGAAACAGAGGGCAGGAGTAAGGTCTGACCAGGTGTCCTGTGTGAGAGTAGGCCAGCAGCAGCAGCAGTAAGGCCAGCGCCATGCCCAGCAGCTCCCAGACGGAGCGCCGCAGAGCTCTCCCAAACACCGCCCACTCCCTCAAGAACCGCAACTGGTGGGACGCCTGGGGGGGGGTACACAGGGAGAGGGGGAGGGAGAACAATTATAATAATACAAAAAAAACATTTGATACAAAAATGTAATTAAAAAGACAATAATATAGTAATAGTATGTTAAAAAATGGTCAAACATATTATTATAGTTAGTAATACAAAAAGTAACGTATTGTATGTTTAAAAAAAGTCACATTATAATACTCCATAAAAAAACCTCTTAGTATAGCAAGCCATCAAATATTCATAGAGTCATAGTTTGTAATGAAAAAGATCATGAACAATGTCATACAGTCACGAAATGTCATTGTATAGCATGCCATACATTTCTTTAAAAACATTTATAGTATAGAATGCCCCACAAAGAAAAGGAGGCTTGTGTAGAAAAATGACAGTGTCTCATAAAAAAGGAATTGTATAGTATTTTATAAAAAAAGGCAGAGTAGTATTTTATAAAAAAAAGGCAGAGTAGTCATAGTATAGTATTTTATAAAAAGTATAGAATACCATTAAAAATATGACTGTCCCCCTACTATCGAGCGCTTCCTCAGTCTACACCCATATTCAAACTCAGCCTTTATTTAGTGGGAATGCTGATACAGCATTCCCACTAAATGTTATGCTACGGACGAAAAGTTTATTATTATTCCGTCCAATTATTTTGTCCGTCTTCTCCTCCCACATTCAACATCGCAGAAACTCCGTTCAAACATCAAAACGTTCAGCTCGGTCGGGAATCGACTGTTATTACTTTTATCATTCATAACTTTCATAATTCCAGAGATACATCCCATAATACATCCCATTTTTAACCATTGAAGTCAATGGAGAAATTCTTCAGACTTCAACAAATCTTCATGCGACTTCAACTGCTAACTGTTCATTCATACTTTCACTCAGAAACCTCATTCCAACTTTAAAATGTTACACATCTTTCTGACATTATCCGTGTAACACAACTTTTAAATCTGATTCTTACTTTTAGAGATATTAAACATTGTTCAGACCTTGGTAAAGAGGCTTTCTTCAGATTTTAACATTAACTAGAGTGCGTGATGTCACAGCTAGAGGGTAAGAAATCTTGAAATGTGCCTTCATATATTTTTTTTAAACTGCCATAATTCCCAAACCCTACATTCCTGAGACGTAATTTTTTATGACAAACGTAGGAAAACATCTCGTAGCTTGAAAAATGACAAATAATTAGGCAAAAATAATTAAACAAAATGCCTCTTGAGGGCATGAAGTGACAACAACGTTCAACATGTCTCCATTAAAGCCCATTGTAATTTCAGGCAGATATTTCCTCACGGTAGCAGCCGCACACCTTTAGTTAAACTGCCAAAAAGGCCACATTATTAACCCGAAAGTACACAAAAAGCACACTGCAGATACTCAACTTCCTTGACATGCTTCACGCTATAACTTCAAATATTCTGCTGCTTTTCCAAGCCTTTTTACTCTCTTTTCTTCTCTCATCACACATTCAAGGCCCCAGTGTTCATGTATCATTTCAATCTAGATTCTTCACTTTCTTCTTACACATTACATTTCAGCATAGCAGTTTAGCGTCAGATTTTCAGCATAAAGCATTCCCACTAGCAATTTCTTCAGGAATTGCATTCTCTAGTTTGATCTGAACTACCTACCTGTAGATTTTGTGACGCGTTACATGTTTTTATTTTATTTGTTTGCTTTCCTTGGCCCTTCTCTCTCACCTTGAGCACCAGTATGAACAGCAGCAGGGCCGACATGGCGGTGTAGGTCTGGCTCTGTCGGGCCAGAGGGAGGAAGTCAGTGAAGGCATCCCGCGGCTGCTTCAGGTACGCCGCCCACTGCTGTGTTGCCATGGTGCAGCGACTCAGGTGCAGCCCGCACACACACGCTGCCAGGGCCAGTTTGCAGAGGCCCAGCAGCCTCCAGGTGGACAGCAGGTACACATAGCCCTCTCTGAGGACCCCCAAGCCCCCCCGCACCAGGAAGTACAGCACCAGGGCGAGAAGGACAATCTGAAAAACAGGGGGGAAAAATGAAGATGATTTATACCAAACTGACAAAGCCAAGCACAGGGGGAAATAATCGCAATTATACTCAATATGTGCAATTATCACTTTTATGTGAAAGATAACCTTTTTTTTATAATTGTCCCAAAATGTTTTCAAATGTTTCAACACCGTATATATGTTACTTATGACACTTGTTTTCTTTTAATTGCTGCAACACATTATTTGTATAACTAATGTATGTTTTTCTTCACACCAGTAAGCCAGCTCACACTGTCCGCTCCTCGCAGCAGTGAGCCTCGCAACGTCCCGCCAACACGGCACCCAGACCCCACGCAGCATTCTCACCTGTTTGTCATTACTGGTGTCATTTTCTGGTTGCTAACAAACACCATTGTAACACATAATCACTGATGTTCCGCTGTAACGGTGGTGGACTCATCAGAACAGAGTGGGCGAGCTGACCAATCAGAGCACAGCGGGCTCATAGGGAGGGGGGGGGCAGGAGCTCCAACAAGTCGTTTAGGTAAGAGAGTGAATACACATACTATACAGAGATGCTGTATGAGAAACCAATGTGAGTTTGGAACATTGAACAATATAAATGTATTCTAGTAGACCTCAACAATGGAAGTATGATCAGTAGAAATGGCCATGACATGGGACCTTTAACTCTTTTGCCTTTTTTCACCTGCTCTGCCACTTTAGCTGTAACACTGTACATTTCCCCGCTGCGGGACTAATAAAGGATTTCTGATTCTGAAGGTAACAGGTGTAGCTAGGTGTTTTTTGTTATCATTGACATTTTGATGGACTTTTGTTGCCAGGGGTTACCATGAGAAGGAGCTGAAGGTCCAGGCCTGTGATTGGCCACAGAGTGATGACAAGGAGGTCAAGGCTGGACTGGGCACGCTCAGAAACTGGAAACTCAAACAGGAAGGAGAAGACGGCCAGGAGGTTTGTGTTGATGTTGTAGAGCGAGAACTCCACAAACACAGCACGGGTCCTACGAACACACACACAAACACACACTTAAAGAACTAAGATAAGATCAGAGGTCAAACCTCATAACCTGCTGCTCCCAGGCCACTAAGACTGTGCTGAGACCAATTGAGGTTCTCTATAAACAAACCTTAAACGTTTTTGATAAGTCATAAAAACATTCCACTATACTGTCCAAATACAAACTCCTAAGGTTTGAGATCCGCCGTGAGCAGAGTGGCAGAAAATCAAGAGCTGCACTTAACGCAGATATAAGCATCCCACTGAGGCGCACTGGCTTTGCACAATCTGCATTTTCATTTACGGCCATCAAACTCTGGAATATTCTTCGAGCTGAGCTTAAAACCTACAACATTAATTACACTGTAATCTGAGTTTTGTTAATTGAAATGTATTGTACAAATAGATTTTAACTGTACTACTTTATTGAACTGTAATTAAATCTGTTTTGTAATTGTTTGTGTGATACAGATTATTCAATTGTTGAGTGTTTGTTGATTGTTGTTTACCTGCCTAATACTGCAGATGGAAATGAGCTCTTAGCTTGAATCTGGCATAAATCATTTCTTCTCTTTTCTGAGATCAATGTATTTGTATGCATAGTCCTTGTTCAAATACATACATTAAAAAAAATAGTTCAGAGGCACCTCCTGTTTTGAAACAACATTAATTTTTTCTGTAAGTCAGTTGTTTTCATCACATGAAGTTTTGCTTCACATGAGAATAAAAATTGTTTTGATGACAGATCCCCGCTGTGAATATTTCCAACCTCACACCAAAAGTGGTATTAACAACCAACATTCTTTTAATGATTTATTTTAATGTTTGATGTTTTCATGGGGGACTTTTTAATGACTGCAGGCTGTAAGAGACATTGCACTTCAGGGACAATCAAACTTTACGGATACGCATGGTTCTGATTTCTTTCAATCAAATTGTGAGCACAAGCCCGATGTCTAGTCCCTGACATCTGGACTTTCTTTAACCAGTGAGATCAGCGCTCGTAACTCTGTTTTTTAAAAGCATAACATTTTTAAAATAAACAAACATAAATCCTTTTTTATTGATTTTATTGCCTTGGACTACGTATTTATTATCTGGCAGTGCTCTAGGATTTTATTATTCTCAGCTTTTTGCTTTTATTTTTTCAGTTCGTGAAACCCTGATTTAGTTCCTGTGTTGATTTTCTAATCTGGTCTCTCTGCGTACCTGTAGTCGAGCCACTGGAGCTGCTGCAGCTGCTGTAAGGAGGAGGAAGCCTCCTGCAGAGTCCTGTTCAGCTGGAGGACCACGTCTCCTCCGTCATAACGCCACGCACTAGAAAGACAAGTGGAAGGAGACACAGAGGACAACAGAGAACATTTGAACCATGTGAGGCCTCACACATCAAATTACAGCCAGAACATTCTCATTTTCTGAAAGAGATTATTGCGCCTTTGCCAAAATACAAAAATACTCAGGCATTTATGGCACTTTATTGACCAAAACAATGTTTTTTTGGAAACAAAAATAAATATTCATCAGTACATTTGGAACATTTGGAACAATTCATCTGATTTGGTTCTTTGTTTTTTTCAAACAGGAACGTTTCACAAGCTCTTTATATCGCAAAAAAAAGGAAAAATTACATTTTAGGGGTTGATCAATAGCTATTTGATATTTTAAATAATACTAGGAAACTACTTTTCTACAACCTTATTTACATTTCATTTAAGGACAAGTACATTTAACAGCACAGGTGCACGTCTTAGCATTTTGGGCATCGGTTATTTGAAAGTTCAAAGGGGACAGAATATGTCCTCCAATTCAGGGCTCTCCGTTATAAGCGTTATAGGGTTAAATCGCTGGAGGGATCTTAATTAAAAGGCTGCCATAAGAAACGTTATATATAAGATCGTGACGATCATTACTACCAATTATATATTGTATATCATTTGTAGAAAATATATAATTATATATGTAATAATAAAGAAGTGCCTTCCTTCAAGTACTTTAAATATACTAGATATTAACATTATTTTCCACGTTTACAGAGTTGATTTTTATTTACATCAGTCCTAATATTAAGTACCATGTTTAGAAACTGAACCGATCTACAAGTTAACCCGAAGCACGCCTTTTTAAAGCCAGGCTTTCAAACATTTCAGTACCCGTTTGCAGTGGGATTCTCAGCGGGATTCTCAGCGTCTTTCCCCTTTCCCCAAATACTGCCTCCTGCCCCGAAACCCCCTGCAACTGGAAGGAAAAGTAAAGGTTAAAAATGTAATTGCAAATATTAAATTAAACACATTCAAACAAGAAAGAAAATGAGTTTGATAATAGATGTCAGGGAAGGAAATAATGATTCTGCTGGAGTCCCTGCGATGCTAAACATGACGTTTTATGCAGTCAACTGAAAGTTATTGAAACAGACATGTGTCTCTAAAAACATATAATACATATCTTCAGTGATGATTTCTTACTGTATCTTCAAACCTAAGCTTTTTATTTATTTTTCAGCTCCATCTAATTACACAACCAACACAAAGACAGTAAACCAGTTTAAATCTTACCCAGCGCGTCACGAGTTTGGCGGAGCCTCAGCGTGCCGAGCAACACGCTTCCTGTGTCCCTCAAGAGGGCAGATTCATCCAGTAGCCGTGGCAACAGTGACTCATTCAGCCAAACCAGAACATCAGCTCGACTAAAAGTAAGAAAACAGTTTTAGATATATTGTGTCAGACATTTTGTTATGTGTTTGTGTGTGCACACTGTAAAGGGACACTGTGGATCTGCTTTATGTTGAGCAAACAACAGTTATGGACACAGTTTCCTTCAGCGGACAGAAAAACCGATGGCCAGTCATGGGAGCGGCACAGAAATCGTTACTTTATTCACACTAGGCAGAAGGTTGCCTTTTAGAAATGAGACATATTTCGCACCAGAATGAAGGTTAACATTAGTAAAAAAAAAGTTGTCAGGTCTTTAGGTGTAGGTGTGTATACCTGCTGATGTTGTGGTAGTCAGGTGTGTGTGTATGTGTGTGTGTACCTGCTGATGTTGTGGTACTCAGGTGTGTGTGTATGTGTGTGTGTACCTGCTGATGTTGTGGTACTCAGGTGTGTGTAGTGCTCGCTGCAGCTGGGTGCGCAGTCTCAGGCTGTGTGTGTCTTTGGCCGAGTCAGAGTAGTTGAGGAGCAAAACCACCAACAGGAAGAACATGTAGACCAGGAAATTCTGAAAAAGGCAAGAAACAATTCTGTTAACAAACAAGAAACAGAGCTCTCAATGTCGAAACACAGACGATCTCCAGCACCAACCCCCCCCCACCCCCCCTCCCTCCGACTCACCTTCAGCATGGTGTGCAGCATGTGGACCTTGCGGGCCTGGTGTCGAGCCTGAGACAGAGCGAAGCCCTGAGGGGGTCTCACCCTGGGGACCCGCTGCACCACTCTTTCCACCCGGGGGAACTCCACCAGCACATCCTGGTCCTCTGGACGCAGGCGGTGCACACACACTGCGTAGTAAACCGCCTCACACAGCACCTGAGGGACAGAGGAGCCGTTATGTTAGGCTGGGAATGTCTTTAAAAAGTCAATATACTAAGAAAACCTTGGCTAAAATAATTGTTCACAGGGCCAGGGCATTGATGAGTGTTGAGGATTATATCTTGTTTACATCTGAGAATAAATGTGTGTACCTTGATTGGCTCCAACAGCAGGCAGGAACACAGGAAACTGGCGAAGCAGGAGATGAGCCACATCATGGACACGTTTTGACTGAACCCGTGACCCGCCCAAATTGAAACGCCGTTGGCCAGAGCGAGCCCCCCCCAGCTGCCCCACAGAGCGGCCTGTCCACACCAGGGAGGAAACCGTCTGGGTCGACACACGTCCGTCACAACTGGAGAGGAGAAAAACACTTTGTAAAAGGAAGCAGGTCCCCGAGATAAAACCAAGCAGATAGAGGATTTCAAGATAGAGACTTCTGAGAGTATTCATATGTTTAATTCACAGAATTTCAATGTGAGGAATTCGGTTAATATGTATGTATTTCACACTTTCACAGTTCCACAAAAGAAACTGAGGACTTGTATTGCTTATTCAACATTCAAGCAGCAAAATGAAAGCACTTTGTGAATGCTCTGCTTTCACATTGAATCATTACTATAATTGCCTAGACACTCAGCCGCCAGCACCGAGCTCATTACCGAATACAAGTAAAAGAGAAAAGTAAGTTTCCATTAAACTTGGCTCTTGACCTAATGAGAGAAAGATGTTTTATTAATAAAAAAAAACACGGGGTGACTTGTGTCCCTTGTCAAGAGAAAAGCACACAGACAGCAGAACAGTTTGCAGATAATTGTTCCATGAAGAAAAGAACTGTCGGATGCCATATCAAATTGAACATCTTTTACAATGACTTTGTTCTGATGGTATTTACGATTTCATGTATTTGATTGGAGGAAACATTTGTTTGCATCTGTATTTAATTTATAAAATGGACATTGCTGTTATTTCACTCAATCACAAGAAGTTAAAATCTGCCATTATAAAGTATTCTCAGCGCTCAGCAAATCACTGTTTGCCCCTTATTGGCCCTTTGATAGCTCCATTCTCTGATGAGTGATTAATGCTCTGATGATCTCTTTGATTCAACATGATTTACAGGGTGACTCTTAAACACACACACACACACACACACACACACACACACACACACACACACACACACACACACACACACACACACACACACACACACACACACACACACACACACACACACACACACACACACACACACACACACACACACACACACACACACACACACACACACACACACACACACACACACACACACACACACACACACACACACACACACACACACACACACACACACACACACACACACACACACACACACACACACCTGTATTTGAGGTGAAAGCAGTCTTCGGTGGGTCTCTTCTCACAGATTCTAGAGGGAGAGGCTCGTTCAGCTTCTGGAGGAGAATCACTTCTGTCTTATCTCCGAAAATGCTCGACCTGGCACAAACACAGCGATGGAAATCAACAATTTAATATGATTGAAGCTTTTGAATCCATTGTCTTTGATAAACAAAACATATTTAGAGATCAAACGTACAGGTCAGCCATCTCACTCTCATCTGCCTGAGGAAAGAAGTTCTGTCCATCTGCCAGGATGTGTTTGATCAGATCCTCGTCTGTGAGCGGAGAGAAACAGCATCAGCACTCTCATATGACACAGACAGTGTAGTAATACAAATGCTTCATGTAGTTATTAGACGGAGTCACTGATTGGTACATGTGGTTGAAAAGTCTTCCTGTTTGGGTTACCTGAGGAGGTGAAGTGCTTGTTGCGCTGGTTGGTTCCCTCTTGGTCGTCAGGGTTAAAGGTCATGTCGACACCCAGGTGCCTGCTGCCCTGACCCCTCTTCAGCCTGGGCAGCCCCGCCCCATGCCCCGCCCCTCCCACCACAGACACATCACTCAACAGCTCTGGCCAATCCCGGTCCTCCATCTCCTCCTCAGCCATGCCCCAACTCTCCCCGCTGAAATACACAGCGACATGTTTGTTAAGAAGTGAGACTTACCTATCCCCCTCTTTTTATCCAATATGCTTTTTATTCATATCTTCTCTTTTATCCTCACGTAATCCTACATTATTCTTGGCATTTCTCTTCCAATGAGGTCAATTCTCGAAATGGACTGTCATGGCAAAGGGGGTATCTCACCTTTTGGTTGATGGAGTGGGCAAATCCAGATGTGTCTCTTCTGAGTTTGTCTGCAGACAGAGAAGAATAATTGATGAATAGATAGATGTGGAAAAAGACAGAGCAAGAGTCTGACGCACACTAATGATCTCACAAAGGGAAAGCATAAAAGATCTCCTCTTTTCCCTTGACTGACAGCACTCTCTTTTTACTTAAACAACCCCTGGGCTGAACAAAATCCTCATTTTAAGGTTCATATATACTGGATATGCTGTGCCTCTACTGTGACATGTCTTCATGCTTGAATGTTCAAAAAGGTCTTGATTTTTGACTGTGTTGCAGTGTTTACTTTTTCTCTCCCTCTGAACATCCCCTGCCCCTATCCCACAAATGTGTTAAATTGTAATTGGTTTAGACATCTGAGCTATAACTGTATGAGGCATGATTCTTTTTGACTTCACAGTCTTTCCCTAGGAGACTTTACCTCGCCATTATAAAACAGGAAAGAACTTCCAGCAATGGAGTCATCCAGGAAGTCATCAATCTCCACCGACTCCTGATCCATTTGTGGTGGCACCTGCTCCACAGATACGCACTAATGTTCACACATTCACACACACAGAGGACAGTTTAAACATCCTGTTGGGAGATACTAAAAACCTTGATGGCTTTACAGGTCCGGTCAGGTTTGTGTTACCTTGCTGCGGCTCATTCTGAAGAGCGTGAAGACGAGCAGGTAGAGAGGGTAGACGATCAGGCAGGTCACCACGCCTGCTGCCACCGTCTCTCCGTCCAACGAGGAAAACCTGGACACGGGTCGACGAGGGCTGCAACACAGGGGGGGGGGGCGTTAAATGTAGGAAGAAAAGCACACGAAGGACACAAAGCAAGTAGACAATCACATACCTGTATCTCCTGTCCACCACAATGCTGTACCACAGTGTGTTGGCCAGAATGATGAGCTGTAGTAACACGGCGCAGCATGTGGCTCTCTGCAGGCGGGTGAAGGGGCTGCGGGGGGGTCTCTCCCAGAGTGACAGCCACAGGTGACTCTCACACAGCGCCCTCTGCAGCTCACAGCGCAGACGGCGGGGCAGCTGACGGAGCACCGCCTCCTCTGAAGGAAACAGGAAGACAAACGTGAGCGAAGTGACACCATCAGTGGATGGTTATTTCTGACAGTTGGGTTGTATTTTCTCACCTGATGCCTCTACTTCAATCTCGACCCGTCCGTCAGTCTTTTCATTGTCGACGGACAGCCACTCATCAACCAGGAAGTAGTAGCTGCTTCCTGTCTGCAAGTCTTTGACCAAGACGTACTGTAGCAGCCACGCTGGGGACAGACCTGAGGAAGGGTTGAGAGCAGAGAACTTAATATCAGCTCTGTTAAGTCTGTGATAACAGGTCTGTGTTGGATTGCATATGTGGTTCTGTACCCTTGTTGTCATGCCAAAATCGTATTTTCCAAACGCTGCCTAGGTTGGTATCCGTGGCGATGTGAAAGATGTCGAGGGCGTTGCGCGTGAACGCTCCTCTGCTGTCTAAATGGCGGTGCCCGCTGTGACTCTCACGGCCAAACAAACTGACTCCAACATGAGCCGTGGTGCCTGGAGGGACGGGAAGAAGCTTATATTATATCAAATATCCCCAAAACATGTTTAACGTGCAGTCATTTTTGTTTCTTCTATCCTAATAATAGAGTCACTGAACCGGGTAAAGTACCTTTCTTAGAAAAACAACATTTTGTTTCATTCACACAACATACTGACATTTGTCTTAAAACGTAATGTCTCCCTAATTCTCTATCTATGTCTCCCTTGACCTCTCTTTCATTTTAACTACATTTGATTTGAAAATCTATTTCAAAAAATGATAGTTCACTCTTTAGATTTAGTATGAATTAAAGGTGCACATATATTAGCGGTGTACATGGTTATTAACTCATTACAGCTTTTAACCCTCTGAATCCCACAATGTGCAAAAGTTGACTTCTTCGCTTTTGTAGCCATGATTCTGCCGTTTCCATGGAGGTGTACGACTTTATATTGCAGTAAAGACCCCAACAAGGAAATGCCCTGAAACTGCTTGGGATTTATATGATTATTTATAATTATTATTAGTTATATGAATTTTCAGGCCAATAAAGTAAGTAACTTTAGTATTTATGTTGCACTGTAAAGACAAATTGTTCTATTAAATAGCGTATGTCCACTTTATACCATTTCATAAGTGTCCCCCTCCTGAGCTCACCTGCCCCTCGGCTCCAGCCGGTCTTGACCTGGATCTCGTACTTGAAGAGTCCGTCTTGGCCGCAGAGAGGAACCACAGCAGCCCGCCGTAGATCCAGCTGGTCCAACTTGTGCAAGATGGCTGCTGCCACAGCATAGCTCAGTAGGCCCAACACACACACCATCAGCACCACCAGGCTTGCTGCATCAGAACGCTCCTGAGGGACAACAACATGATTACAAATCTGTGTTTGTCTGGTGCATGTGCACAGAAAAAAGGGTGTGTTTCCCTGATACTGACCGGCTCTTGAAAGCTGATGGCGTTGGCCGGAACAAACAGGCCTGCGGCGAAGGCTGTGAGGTGCCTGGTGCGACACACTGCTCTGCTGGCGTTGGTCTCTGCCAGAGGAACCATGCCGTCGGTCCGCCACTGCTTCTCCTTCTCACTGAAGTACTGACACAGGGAGGCAAACACCCCGACCTCCAGGCAAACACCCTCAGGCTGCAGGCCGGGGCTGCAGGCCGTGCTCACGTTGATGAAGTAATCCAGAGTGGTGTCGTACGACCTGAGATACATAACACAGAGGGATTTGGTTTTAATCAAATTGTCCAAAGTCAAAATCCCAAATGAATTGCTTGGTAACCTGTGAGCTGGACCATAAAAGCCCTTCTTTCCAGCCCTAGTTGCTACACACATAATCAATTAGTATTAAGTCATATAACACTCTTACTCTGGCGACAGGAAGAAGGTGTACTTCCTGTGGTCGAGATCGTGCCCCCTGGTCATGCTGAGTGTGATGCGTTTGCTCTCCGTGCAGTTCAAATCGTTGGGTTTCCCGTGTGAATGAAGGTAGGCTGTGATGAACGGCTCCTCCACCTTCTCTTCTCTTTTATACCTCCCTCTGTTATCTAGAGATGAAAAAGAAAACATGGATTTGGGTTCATAAAGAAATCATGTTGCCAAACAAAAAAATGGACTTTCCCCTAAACAATATCAATAGATACATAAAAGACCATTAGGAGCACAGTGCATTCACAATAACACAAAAGTACTAACCCACTTTTAGGAGCCATGTGGTGTCACAAACCAGGCAGTTATATGTCATTCACAAAGTGAGTTAAATGATTTTTAGTTCTAGTATGTCATTTCCTTATTTGGTCAATGCAAAGGCTTTATATTGCTCTTGCCGAACGACACACACAGTCATTGATCCCTGAGAGAAAATTGCAGCAGCACAGCTTCGTAAATCTGATACGACGAAAAACAAGAAGTCCATCTCTTTTAAGGCCAGTCCAAAAAACAACAGTGCCATTAAAGCTTTTAAATATCAAATGTATTTTGTTGTTGCTAGATTTATTCAAAATCTTTTTATATATTTAAACAATACACTTTTTTTCAAGCAACACATTTATGTATTTTTGCAAATATACAACCACACATTTTTAGAAAAAGTACTCAAAATGAACAAGCATCCCTACAAAAGAGAAAAAAGGGACAAACATACTTTATTATTTACAACTTTTAAGAGAACAGGATTGGTTCGAGGGCACTAACGTTTTGTATTCAATGAGCCCAATATGGCTCAAATCGGCTTACCTGCTGCTTAAAAGCAGCCAATATTGTTCAAAAGTGTTTTAATGTCCAACTAAGGTCTGCGGGTTGTATACCTAGGAGTAGTACATTCAAACTGAAAGGGATCTTTACACATACCGGTGGGTGTGTTTTCTGTGTTGAATACATTATATAAAGTATGTGTGTGGTGAACGGGAGGACCCACCCTCCTGAGCGGTGAAGTTGAGCTGAACAAACAGCCCCGCCTGTCGGTTGGTGTTTCCTGTGCTGACCCTGACGATGACGGAGTCGCAGTGGCTGATGTTAACAGCCATGGGGAGGACCCCTCCTCCAGCAGAGCCCTCGGGACCCGATTCTACTCCGCTGCTCCCGTTGTTAACAGCGACGGTGATGGCCAGGCTGTCGTCCAGTCCGGAGATGGGAATCTGGGTTCCATTTTCAGTGCGGAACTCCATGGATGCCACCTCAGTGGAGACGGTGTAGTTCGCCACGTAGTTGAAGGGGAAGGGGTTGGAATCCACCTTGTGAGGAAAAAAAGGAAGAGAAAATAGAAGGTTAGATCTGATGAAGTGAGGCTGAAAACACAAAACCACTTCAGACAACTTATTTATTTGAGTGTGTTGTGATAAGAGACTCTGGCACCTGCAGCTATCATGCTGCCAAGTTTTACAGCAGCAATCCAGAGGAACAAAGAATGTTGTACTCAAGTAAGTCGTTTCCTTCCTGTTACCTGAAACAGAAGCTGCATGATGCCGTTTCCTGCAGCCGCTTGGCGCAGACTGGAGTTAAAAGCTTGAGGGATGGAGAAACGTTGGCACTCTGGAAACATAAAAAGGGGGTTTAAGCACTGATATATACTACTGTTAGTTACCACTTACACTAAAGGCATAACTAATGATATACTAGATACACAAACCCACCTGGAATGATGTTGCCATGGTAGCATAGCAGACTCTGGGGGTCCGCCAGTTTTCCCGTGGCAATGATCTCGGCTCCCCTCAGCACGAGCGGCTCCTCATTGAGCACGCGGGCGTGCATGAGGATCCGCATGAGGACCGAGGACAGGCTGTAAGCTTTGGCCGCCACTCGCAGAGGGTGCTGCTCCAAAGAGGAGTTGGAGGGGGGTGAGGGGGAATCCAGGTAGGCAGGCTGGAGGTAAGACTGTGATGTTGACTGGCCAACCTGATGGATCAGATCACCTGGAGGGACGGAAGGAGATCAGGTTAAAGGGACCTATCATGCTTTTTGGGATGTTCCCTTTCCTCCAGTGTGTTATACATGTTTGTGTGCATGTAAATGGTCTGCAAAGGCTAAAATCCCAAAGATCCCTCCAGAGGGAGTTTCTCTCCCACACACACCTCTCTGCCTTAAACGCCTCCGTTGTACTCTTTGTATACTTCCATAACATAGTGACATCACTATGTAACACTCGTGGTGCTACTGTATTGGCTAGTGCACCAATTCACATTGTATGTGATGGGCTAAGGGGTTGTACATATCTAAGCAGTTGACCAATCACAACAGAGCCGGCAGGCTAACCAATCAGAGCAGACGGGGCTCTGGTTTCAGACAGAGGGTGAAAAGAGGTGCTGCAGCACAGGCAGTATGATACAAATGAAGACCTTTTTGAACATTAAAGCATGTAGACATGTCCCAGTAGAGACACTAAATACATACATGAACCTGAAAAGGAGCATAATAGGGCCCCTTTAACAGCTCAGGAATATATGGTAAAGAATTAATTAAAGAATTAGTAAAAGGAAGTTAGAGACACAGTAACAGCACAGTGTCACTGTAGTTTGTTTTTCTCAGAGGATAGTATACATCTTGTAAATTAGGGGACATAAAGTATATTGGTGCTGTTTATATGGCAGAGGAGGAACGAAGTCATTGTATTGCAAGTCACAGATAAGTATTTGTACTCAAATCCTAAACTTTGAGTGTCACAAATTTCCACCAGTACTCTTTGCGTACTGCAACTGGTTATACGCAACAGCACTGAGAAGGCTTTACCCTCCACTTAGCAAGACACATGCATGAATGAAGACTTATTGCTAGATCCTAATTAATGTTACAGTTGACTTTTATCCAAACTTTCACTCTTACCCATGATGTTCAGGATGTTGTCGGCTATCTCAGTGGGAGTGACGGTGCCCTGCTTGGTGTCAGTTTGCAGGATCTCCAGCATGGACTCCAGCTTGTTCAGAGTGCTGTTCTGACACTCCTCGCATATGAACTCCCGACTGACCGCCTGGAAAACAAACACACATTAGTTATTACCTTTAGTCTTGCCTTTTCAAATTGCCCTTCTTTCTTAATTTCCTTGTTTCCCCTGCCCTCTTTCCTTTCCTTCCCCCTCTAGCCTCCCTCTCATCCTGCTCACCGTGCACTGAGCCAACGCAGCGGAGGTCTGCTGGATGTCGTTGACGGTGGTCAGGTCGAGAGCCGTCAGCGCTCTGGTGATGTTGCTGCGGACTCTGACTCGGTAACCGCGCTCTGCTGGGGAAACCCGGACCCCCTCCCTGGACTGCTCATACTGTAACAAGACAAATATAGGGATGCTTCAACTGATGAGCAATTGGATGATGATTCCATTCCTCATTGCTGTGTGTCGGGGACTCTCCTACCTCATTCAGGACTGTTATAAGAGCCAACGATAACTCTCGGACCCTCTGGGAGTCTCCCTGCTCCAACAGCTTTTTAAGTTTGATGTCGGACAGCTCATACAGCCAATGGGGAAGGCTTTTGTACTCAGGGGGCGGATCTGGCAACAGAACCTTGATAGACCTGGAACCAAACACAAAAAGTTATTAGTGTTTCTAACGGGGTTATATTTGTGTTTCTCCAGACTTGATGCTTTCATAAATTGCGCTAGGGTGAATACATTAACCTACAATTACAGTGTAGATTTAAGATACTTTTTTTGTTTACATACATGCAAGAATAACTGTATATGGCTGTCCACCAGGGTAGGATTTTCACGGCGGCCATGACGGCCATGGCCGTCGTTGCCCCTCGGTCTGGCCGTTAAGCCCCGAAAAAAGTCTGTGTTTTGTTCATGTTTAACTTTTGTCCAGTTTCTGAACAGATATGAGGAGCTGTGAGCTCTGTGTGCTAACAGCTAACGGCTGATGTTTTCTGATTCAACATCAGTGACAGCAGGCTGAGATCCTCACCGCTGATTGGCTACCACGAGAACGCGTCACGTGAATTTGACCCTCGAGTTGACATTTTTTATTAAAGAGACTCTCGTACACACACAAGTAGAGTATTTCATTTTATATACTGTAATACTAAGGAGGCATAGGCCTATATGATGATATAATGTTTGACATTATTGATATAAAAAAAAGTGATTTGTTTTCCATGTCATTCGTGTGTTTTTCTCATCAGAAAGTGAAGTTATTTATTTGTAAGCTCCAAATCCTAACTTTTCCCTCAATGGCCTTTGTGCCCTAAACAAATGTGTGACACCAAAGGCCAAAAGCCTTGCCCCTAAAATGACGAAATTCCAAGCCTGCTGTCCACATGTAAAACATTTCCATAAGCCAGTTATATAAAGAAAGCCTGGGGAAGAGATAAATAGATCGTGATCAAGTTTATCTGTAGATATGTTATAGTTTTTTTTATGTATCAGCTCATTTGTCCTATTTTAGTTTACTTTTGTGTTGTGTTTTTCTTAGTCTTTAGGTGCTTCTTTCCTTTTTTTCGTTTTCCACATGCCTCTTGAAGTATATGTAGGATGTCTTGTAATCCCACTGCATAAAAATAATATGGAAATGTTTTTCTAGGGCTGCGAGCAAACGATCTTTTGCAGGAGCTTATGCCCATAATAACTAAGCAAGTCTAAGAGGGGGTTCATTTATTGTTCAACATACTTTAACAGAAAGCCCCTAACTGCAAGACAGCACAGATCTAAACTTTAATAAGCTTTGTGGTGAAAAAGAAAAGGAAAGTCAGAAGTCAACAAGATAACCGAAATCCTTGGAGATCGAAGGGGTTATTCTACCTCGAAGAAACCCTTCTGTCATACACGGGCTAAGCGAGCTATGGAATTGAAGCTGAAGGACTGGGTCTTGTTTAATTGGTCTCACTGCCGCTCAGAAAGATGTAGTTACTTGTTGAGTGCAAAGATGTAAGCTCCCTGGTGGTCCTCCACTGTGATGGATACATTCACATAGTGGTGGGCTGAGCCGAAGCCCGGGGGCAGGAAAGCCGAGTGCTCGGGGCTGCTGCCTTTGTACACGCAGAACTCCTCGCAGTAATCTTCTCTGCAGCGCTTCACCAGTAAACTGTAGAGCAAAGGAGTCTCCGAGACCCCGAGGTCACTGTAACCTGGAGGCAAGAAAAGACATTCACTTTTAAATACTTAATGATCAGACTTTAACAAAATCAATTAGTGATGACAAAGGGAAAGTAAAGTAACACGTTTGGGATTCAGGTGTGTGAGGCCACGTCCTCCTACCTGAGCAGCTGAAGTGAACTCGGTCCAACAGCGTGTGTATCGTCCAGTCTGCGCTGTCTCTGTCCACGTACGCCACTCCATCCTCCCCTTCCCTGCTCAGGTGACACTTCCCGCCATCTGGGGGCGTGTTGTGGTGCAGAGTGATGGACGCGGCGCCCTCTCCATCTAAACTGTCGTCGGTCACATGCAGGGTGAAGTTGTAGGAGCAAGGTTGCAGGAAGCCCTGCCGCAGCACCAGATTCATGCCGTCACCTCCTGTGGTGGTGGAGGAGTAGTCCAGGACAAAAGTCTCGTTCTGCAGCGTCATGGCACTCCAGCGCTGAAAGGCAGAGACAGAGAAATATAGGCATTCATACATTAATTGAGCAAGGATAATCCATCCTAAAAGCTTTCAAATAAAGGAAGGGACACATTATTTTTGTTTTGAGGTTTGCCTTGATGCGTTTGGTTCATCACAAGGCTGAGCCAATAATTAGCTTAATGCTTTTAGTATGATTTTTCCTTTTGGCAGGTTATGAAAAAGGAGTAATTTGGTTGAGGCTCTGAGAGGCACATTATGCTTAATAAACATCACTTAATTACTTTGATGTACAAGACAAATCATTTCTGATCATCCACTTTCTATAATCAGTTCTAAACTGTTATATGTTCTGTGTTTATGGCTCAGGTGAGAACATTGTTTTACCTGGGAGTCTTTATAAATTACTTAAAAACTAAAATCTGACAGGTGAAAAATGTATATTCATGTTTACTTCAAGGAGAAATATGTATATGTGAGAAGTACATGAAGATAGATACATGATATATACAGAGTACCAAACTTAAAAATGACCCCTGCGCAGTGTGAAAACAGGAGTAAAGTACAATTCTAGGAATGAACCTAGTTTAGAGCTGAGTCATCTGCTATGTGCAGGTTGAGGCTCAGGGACTCAAGTATTTTGTCTTTCAAAATGTTTCCCTGTGCTAGCAAGGACAAAAACATATTGGCCCTGGCTCAAGTTGTATATACAATTACTTCATTCTCACATCCACACAACTGCCTGCATAACATCTTTCCAGAGAATACAGTCTGAATAAAGGAAAGAGGTGGAGACCAAGGACGAGAAATGATCATGGATGAGGATTTTGCGGTCGTTTCTGCAGTGTGGTCATTTCTTTTTTTTTTAAACAACATGGATTTGGAGTGTGTATGTGCCTATGGGTGAGAGTGTGAGCGTCTGTGTGTGTGTGTGTGTGTGTGTGTGTGTGTGTGTGTGTGTGTGTGTGTGTGTGTGTGTGTGTGTGTGTGTGTGTGTGTGTGTGTGTGTGTGTGTGTTTACCCCACGGTAAACGCCCTGGCAGTTGGTGCAGGTTCCTCTGAGGTAGACGTACGAGTTCTGGCTGACCTCGTAGATGGACTGGACCTTACAGGACACACACTCCAGGGACACCATGGGGATATGGCCACTCTGGACAAACACCTGTCATAAACACACACACACACACACACACACACATACATGCTGTCAAAATACAGGCAGTAAATAGCATGCAACCGATCAGAAAGCCAACCCAGAACATCCAACAAAATACAAACACATGTAGTTTATTATATATATATATATATTTCTTTGTATTTCTATATTTTGAGGGATACAGTACATCCAGGTACAATGCATTATGTGACATGCCATATTTATATCCAAACAGAAGACATTCTATTCTTTTCTACTTTTTCTTTATCGGTATTTGTTAATTATTGTATTTTATCCCATCAAAAATATGAAAGGGTTCATGTGTTTTAATAGCAGCAGCTGATCCTGGTTGTTCAACTGCTGATCATAAAACTAGTTATGTCAACATTCAGTAGACTGGTTCTAAAAATGATGTAATTGAGTTGGAACAAACAGATGAATGTTCAGTAGAAACTACAAGTGAAACCTGTTAAATGAGTGTTCAAACTACATCTCCCACTGTCCATGAACACTTGACACACACTGATTGCTATGTGTCACAAATGACAGAGAGAGCCATTGTTCTGATAGCATAGTCGCTCCAGTCCTAGTAGAGGGCAGTCAGACAGTAAGAAACCATAGATAAGGAACATTACATTACCCTCTGTTTACCAGTGTGCGACAGAGTTATTTTGATACAAATATAGCACTTAAAGCAGTTGCCATTGTTTAAACTAACCATAATTAGGTGTGTACTGAATGTCCAAGTAAGACAGATAAATAAACCAGGTCAGTATACAACCCTTTTCTGTCAGAGGAGGAAAACTTGCATATTGATATGTCCCCATGGTGTGCTTTGAGCCTTATAAAGCTGCTTTTACTTTTATGTAAATTTGACATTGAATGAGTCGCAAATTATATTTAAGTCCTCCTTTCCTTTAGATCCTTTAAAGATGTTATACAAACTGCCTCAAAAGAAACATCTTACTGTTTGACGTTTTTCCTTGACTGGAATTTGTTATGGATATTTATTATTGGACTAATTGAAAAAAAGAAATCTAAGTGTTTTGTTGGCTCCTATTTAAGCTCCCTTCCCTTCTAAGTTATGAACCACCATCTTAAAGGAACACTGCGTGCCATTAAGAGGAGTTAGTGGCAGGAATGGAAAATAATAGTCATTACTCACTTCTGTATGTAGGACTAGAAAGGTCTATCTTATTTGACACTAATGCAGAAGCACTTTAAGTGGCTTGGCTTATTGAAAGCAAATGTACACGCAGGATTCTTGCTATTCTGAGTTTGTATCTCCATGGTTGATTGCACTGATTGTAAGTTGCTTTGAATAAAAGCATCTGTTAAATGAAATGAAATGTAACTCTGTTTTAATTTCAACATAAGGAGTTGCTATTGTTGCAAAGCCGTGTGTCCATAGTAGACCAGAACAGACAAATCAAACGTTGTCTCTAGAGAGACCCTTTAGATGTTTTATGCTAAACCAAGATAACTGTTGTTCTCTGACACGCTTGTAAAGGGAGGGGTATCCAGTTGTATCCTATCTGCACCCTCACCACTAGAAGACACTAAATCCTGCACACTGGATTTTCAAAAGGACGCATGTATTTACCAGTGGCGAACCGTGTCTATCACAACTGGACCTTCTGTAGACACACACACCCCCCGCCGCATGGAAGGATATTCTACCCCGAGACCCAGAACAAGATCTGATTGGTTGCTTTCTTTTCTAACACAAAACCACTGTAGTGCATGGTCCGAGAAGGACAAACAAATCAACGTAACACTGTAATATTACAGATTAACAACACAGATACAATTCTCATTTATTCATTTTATATACATTTTATTTATATAATTAAATCGATTTTTTGTTTGTTTTATCTGAGTGTTCCAGGGTATTCTCTGAATACCTTGAAGGCCCTGATGGTTCGCCACTGGTATTTACCATAGACTGTATATGGTATTTACATGTGTAGCAGAGTGTGTGCACTTACAGTCTGTGTGGTGGACTCTGGTGCCATGCCTTCTTTGTAGATGGTCAGTCTGAAGGTGTATTCGACACCCGCCTCCAGCTCAGAGACGGAGATTCCCAGCACCGGGTCGTTGTTGCCCAGGCCGAAGTTCAGACTGGAGCAGTGCTGCGTGCCCTGAAAGCGGGAGGAGTCGGGATATCAAGTGTTAAGTACAAGCATGGTACTTTTACATAGAGTTAAAAACAGGGTTAGGTATAAAACAGCAGTGCTGATATTTGAGTAAAGGTAGGCAATATATTTATAGAAGTGGGTTCAACTAAGATACAGCTGCATGTGAATACATTCATTAAATGTAGAAAAATACACATAAAAGGCCAAGTTGGACTATCTTTTTAACTTAAATTACAATTTGTCATTTCCACCAAAGTCATAAAATCCTCATCATTTTAGATAAATGCTAGTATATGCTTTTATTACATAGAAAAATAAGCAATAATAAAATAGAGGTTATTTCAGAGAGCTGCAGCCAGGATTTAACACTATAACTGACTCACATTATAGATTTTTTTTCTCCTCTTGTTTGAACAAGCCCTACTGTACATGACCTAGCACCTTCATATGTGTGTTATTACTTTCATTTCATGTTTAGACAACTGCATGCCCACAAGACATGTGGTGAGGCTTCTAATAGTTAGAATACTACATGAAATGAAATTAAGTCAATCAACAAACCCTCTGATTGTTCACTATAATTACATTGCTACAGATTTTCATTCTTAAAACCTTTTAAAGATGAAAATGGTTGGTCATCAACTTTTAAAAATGCTGTGATATTAGCCTAAGTCTACTTCAAAAGAAGCCAAAATGTTAACATTGTATGATTGAATGTAATTCTTCTCTATTTTTAACCAACTCCATCATCTCCTTAGAAAAGTGTTTGTCTCCAAGGTCTTGACAGCATCAAACATAACTACCTGCATTTAGTTTATGCTAGTACTGTAATTATATTTCTAAACAGTTACATAAACCTTTAAAAGCCTTCGATGTATGCGCACAGCTACACACACATGTCACACCCATCCCATTGGGTCTTATATTGTGGTCTGTTGCTGCACAGGCAGATTGTGTTCCTGCCCAGCCAAGGAAGCGGTGAGTGTGTAAGACACTGAATGAATTTACACTCACACACAAGCACACACGTATTCAAGATACACACTCACTCACAAACTGTCCTGAACTGAGTTCTCCTCCTCACATCGACGCTGCCAAGCTTTTCTGAAGGCCGCTACAGTACTCGGGACCAGATGACTGTTACATAATGTTTCCACAGTCGTCTTTGCAGGATCAAGTCCGTCCTCCAAACTCTTGTCTTGTGAGCTCACCATTTCAAATGACCCAATAAAATGCCTGAGAGTAAAGTTTGGCTTAACAAATCTCCACTCTGCTATTTCTATTAGACTCAAGCCACATATTAAGAAAACAGCATATTGAACCACAGAAGCAAAAGCAGAATAGAAAAGAAATGCACCTAAAAACATTTAAAAACACACTCTCCACCAATTAAACCAGCAAAGCTCCTCCAACTTTACTTCAGTTCTAATGTGTGAAAGTGACTTTTGTCTCATGTCTGTTCTTACCTTGGAAATGCTTTGACACTCCCAGTTGTAGTTCAGTAGTGACTGTTCCTTTGGGTCCATGTTGGGATCGTAGGACTGCTCCGCACTGAGCTTCAGGTCCTGTGTCCTGGACCACACCCTATAGGTGCCCCCTTCTATGATGGGCCTCAGCCTGCCAGGAGAAAAGGGGGTAAAATGAACATAAGGTAAGACAAAGAAGTGCCTGTTGGCAAATGTTCTCAAGTTTGTTTTTCCCCATTTGTCAGTTGTTCTATCCGTTCTATTTAAATCCAAAATGTTTGTACTTGTGTTGCAAATGAAGTGCTTGGTCTACGATATCAAGGTGAAATGATTTTAGTTTCCGGCTTCCCTCTTAGTTTTTTGTGATGTGGGGTTTTGAGAAGATCCTATAGACTTTTTTCCACCATTACAATCCATCATATCTGCCTTTAATATAAACTGATTGCGAATGACAAATTGAATAAAGAGTTTGGGTTAATTATTGTTAATTCATTGTGCATTGAACTCGGTATCACTTGGAGACATGATTAAGAAATTAGAAGCAGAAGTGAATTTGTGACAGTGAATCAAAATGTAGTTTCTCCACTGACCTGGCAGCCATGACACTGAGCTGCAGACAGGCGGCCTTCCTTAGCGGAACGCCCTCGTAGGACATAGAAAACACCAAGGTGTAGTTCCCTGCTGCCAGCGTCATCTTAGGCAACGACAGCTGTAGCCGCTTCACATCCACCTCCACTGGCACGATCGAAGACTGAGAAGGAATCTGGTCTTTATCATTATCACAGGAGGGGGTGGAGAGTATCTGCCAGAGGTACTGCGCTCCGTAGCGTACACAGCCTTTCAGGTTCACACTGGCTTCCACCAAAGTGGACTGGTAGCGCCAGATGGCCAGACGGGGGGCTTGAACCACCTGCACTTCTGGCTCCTCGCACTCCAACACGCTGATGTTTACCTCCACCTGAGCCGACACCGAGCTCACCAGGTTACTGCAGTTCACCTGGCAGGGAGAAAAACAAGATGGTGAAATATCCAAACTGGGAAGCTTTCAACAACATTTCATAGTTCAATAAATAAATAATAGATCTTTAGAGTGTCCAAAGTAACTTACTTGCACCATGTAGTGCCCGGGGTGTCTGTACTCGTGACCTGCAGTAGTTCGGTTTGTGTGAACTAGAGACGAGCCGTCGCCAAAGTTCCAAAAGCATTCCACATCATTGGATCTGGGTGTGACACTGGCGCTCAGCTTCACCATCTTGTTGATGAAAGTGTCGCTGGGTGCTGCGTGCAGGGTGGCACTTTTCAGCAGGTTCTGCACCAGGATTTGCTTTTCGAAGATCTGATCATGAAGTGCGTTCAAGGCCTTCAGGTGGATTAGCAATCCACCTGGTTCTTCTGGCGTGTAGAACACCTGGTGAATTCAATGAGACACATCATTATTTGACAGCTGTTTACTATACATGTGATGTTTATTTGTTATTTATGGTGAAGTGATCTGACCGTTTTGCCTATACGCGTCGTCTGGTGGAGGTGGCACAGATCAAAAGTCCACAGGAAAGATACAGGATTGCCCGTTAGGATGTTGGCGGTAAACGATGTCTTAACGCCTACTGGGATTGCTGCAGCGCTCTCCTGGATGGAAAGTCCACTCACCGGCTGCATCACCTCCACGTGGAGTTGCCTCGTCTGATCACTCACCTGGTTTGTCATATTGCATCAAAATATGGTTAGTGCATTAGTTTGATTAAATCATACTTGCTTTAACAACAGCGTTAATGCCAAAAAGAGGAATTAAGTCATGATTAAACTCAAAAGTTGTTGTAAATATGATGTAATACCTATTTCCTAAGTTCCGCTTAAAACACACTTTAAATTTAGAGTGAGGAACTTTTGTCTCCCCCATCTGGTAGTGACAGTCAGTAATTACCATATGGGATAGACTATAGTTACGGAGCAGCAGCTACTGTATCTTGAGGGAATGCTATGATCATGGAGTTCAAAGAGCTCTTGGTGGAAAGATGCAGCATCTCACCTTTCACCACAAGCGCAAGCTCGGGAAAGACTCCAGACATGAAAAACTTTGGTATACTGCAAAATACAGAGAACTTGTCCTGCCAGCGATAGCCTTAATCAACTTTGTGTAGAATAGTTTGGAAAGGGCTTGAATGTCACGAACATTCATTCATTGTAAAAGTCCAGCACTCCAGCTTTAAGCAGTGTTTTTTTTAAGTAAACAGTAAAGTCAAATATGTTGGTCACCCAGAAAAATACCTTACTTTAAAAGAGGACAAACAACAACAAAAAGCTCAACTACAGTATATGCTTGTGCCACACGTTGTTCTTCTCAGGACAGCAGAAACTCTGCATATTATCCGTTGCAAACTGAAAACGCATCCCATGGCAATGCAATTCTTGCAAAAAAAAAATATATATATATATACTTGAATGACTTAGACAAAGTGAATATATTTGCACTTTGCTTGTTGATCAGAGTTTGATTCTCTATGTTTTTTGCACTTATTTTAAGTTGCTTTGTCTAAAAGCGTCAGCCAAATGAAATCTAATGTAATGTAAAAAGGGCTCTCTGCAGTCATATTGCCAAAGGTAGCTACTGCTTGTGCTGAGATTAGTTGACTTGGATTGACAGCATGAATGTGTTAATGCAGACATAAAGTATGTCAGGAAATTATAACAAATGTGTTAACTTATGCGCAGATTGGCAATGCATTATTATTCACTTCTAATAAGTACAGGTTATACAAGTTTATTTTATGTGATAGCATTGTGTGTGATTTTTATGTTGCAGTGTTATGTTATATCTATTATATTGTAAGCCCCCTTCCATACATACACTGCAACTTATCTAGACATTGAGCGGAGGAGCTGTCTGGAGAACGCAAATATATGAAACATTCAGACTGGACATAAAACTAACTTGACCCTGCCAGCCTTTTGGTAACAAAATGGTGTAATGTCCTATTAAGCACTTGAGTGAATAATGCTGCTCGGTATTAAAGGTAGGGTAGGTAAGTTTGAGAAACCGGCTCGAGATACACTTTTTGTTATATTCCATGGAATGCTCTTAACATCCCGATAGCAATGAATATCTTAAGTGCTTTGACAAAAAATCCATACATAAATGTCATCTGTGGAAGCCGTAGTACTGTAAAAAGCACGACCCGGCTAAAATAACTGGATGGCCTACCTGCCTGTCAGCCTTCCATCTGTGCACAAACTTATCTCGTGCCCTCATTGGTCATGTGCGCGTTCGTGTGTGTTGGAGGAGGGGCTCTATAAGGAAGTGGCAGATTTTCTCCGGTTGTGTATTTTCAAATTCTTGCGATCTCGAGCCGGTTTCTCAAACTTACCTACCCTACCTTTAAGGGTATTCAGCCCAAATGGGCGTGTTAATGATGTTTCTATCTCTTCTGGCGTAAAAGGGGGAAGAATAAGGGTAATTTAGACTTAGACGGCAACAGAAATTGTAGAGACGGTGAGCTTCAGAAGCGTTTCTCCGATATAATCACAAACTCAAGTAAAGGAATTTGACTTGGTTGTTAACAACCACATTACAAACTGGCTACGTGACTGCATTGCAATGCTCTCTGACCGGGGCCTCCTCTCTAAAAGAAAGTATTTCTAGCATCTAGAATTTTTCTGAGACAAAAATCTTCTGCTCTCTACTAGGCGTGTAGAAGGGAAACTCCAGAGAACATGCCAACCTTATTCTCAGATACTGTCCGGAGTTCTTATTAGGAAACATCTTTAATGCATGATATGAATGTTCTTTGACTTTACCTGGTTGCGCCCAGTGAGATTCACCATGTGCGTATCCACCCTGGTGAACCTGTAGACGTAGGTTCGGTTGAGTTCAGGGTGAAGAGTTGTATCTCCGCTGATGTTGAGGATGAAATGAACGTCCGAGCCCGCTGCCATAGATATGGTGAACTCCACTGTCTCATTGAGAGCTGCAATCTTTTTACTTGCCCTCAGCTCCAACCCCTTAATCCTATCCTGAACAACGAAATCTCTGGAAACCACTTCCATGCTCACGTCGTTGGTCGCATTCAGAGTAACGGTGGCTGTTTTTGCCTCGTGGAAAATCAGAGAAGTGTTCTTTCCTGTTTCTGTTTTTCCTTTGAACAGCCATGTCCACGACACATTGGTCCCCGTCAGTACCTCCCCCTGGAGCTTCACACTGACGCCTGTCTCTACGTAACTCTGCGTTGTCACATTGGTAGCTGTGAATCCCAGCCCGGAGATGACTTCCTGGACACTGACATTCTTTGACTCAGATTTGAAACTAACTTTATTGAAGACCTCCACGGTAACCAGCTTTAGGCCAGGACTGAGGAAGGTGTGGGTCTTCGAGTGCATGTTCCACGTGTGCAAAGGGTCCCCATTCACAAACCAGCTGTACTGCAGGTTTGTGCCTTGAGCACTCAGCACGGTCAGGTTAGTTGGAGTGTTGACTGCTACTGGGTTGTCGCTGATCTGCAGCTCCACCCCTCCTGCTGGCTCCTGGAATTGGATGGTTCTGTTGATGGTCAGCTGGCCCAGCAGGTTGGCTGCTCGGAGATAGATGTGACACGGGCCCGGTGTAGAGAAATTCACCTCCACTGTCTTCCCGCTAATATTATAGCTCGAGGCGAGGGGTTCTAGGTCTTTAATAATATTCCAAGTGAAGGTCATGTTGGTTCCTTCCTTTAATCCTGCTTGAAGGTGGAGGATGCGATTTGTGGCGAAGTAGCCCCCCTCCAATCCTGCTCCTCCTGTCTCCTTCGCCGTCAATATCTGCAGGCCCTCCAGCTCGCGTTGGACGTACAGGAAGATGCTCGCTTGTGCCGTTCCTACGTCGTTCTCCGCTGTCACAATGATGTTGAAGGTGGCCATGGAGCGGAATGTGTAGAACATGGTGTGAGTGCCTTGGATTGGAGTGCAGCGGTCACACAGGATCCAAGAGAAGCGGACATCATCTCCTTCCTCCATTTGGGCCTCGAAGTGGACGGAGGCATTGAGAGGGACATTTACCAAACTGGCGTTGACGCTCAACCCGCGGATTGGCGCGAGCACAGTGACAGGTAAGATAGTGTGATTCCTGCTAACTGTGTTGGCCGCTATCAGTGAGATATTGTACTTGGCAGAGGTGTTGAACGTGTAGAGGATATTCTGGCCTGTTAGCACATTTCCGTCCCCAAATTTCCAGATGTAAGTGACATTGGAAGCCATGGAAGAGGTTGTGAAAGCGTATGGTGCTTTAAGTGTTAGGTTATTGTTCTTTGTTCCATTATGTTGGATAACAACTGGACCCACAGGCATCAGAACCTCAATCACAACAGTGGTGTTACTGGCGGAGATGTTATTGAAGACAACCACTGACACATTGTAATGGCCTGGGTGTTTATATGTTTGCACGGTATTCCCAGAATTTGTGATGGGCATGAGGTCTTCCCCTCTACCAAAGTCCCACTGGTAGCTGTAGTTTGATTCTGGCTGGGCTCTGGCCTGGAAGGAGATTTTCTCCCCAACAGCGTAGTGGGATTTATCAAGGCTGAGGCTGATGTTGGTAAGAGCTGGCTGCACACACATCCAGTTGAAGAAGTTGGCCTTGGTGGCCTTGTTTACCCCGCTGGAGAGGCGCAGAGAGAGGTGGTACTTCCCGCTCGTCCGGTAGGTGTGGGAGACTGTGGGGTTGCCCTGGTGTGTCTCGTTTGGACTCCCGTCCCCAAAGCTCCATTCATAAAGATGAGCTGATGCATTACCGGACACCCAGGCCTGAAAGTTAACCAGGGTCCGCTCTTGGACACACCCTGAAGGCTCCATCCTCACAACCTGGAAGACGAATACCTGCACTGAGACTGGAATCCAGCCAAAGCTCACAGTGTTGGCTGCCGTCACATTCACTGTGTAGTTGCCCTCTGTGACGTATTTGTGTGATATGTGAGGTGTCGATGTCGTGTAGATTTCCCCGTCTCCCATGGAGAACGTCCATGTGATGTTATTACCTGACCCGAGCCGTGCCTGTACTACGGTGGGACTGTGAAGCTCTGTAGGAGAGGAGCTCTTAGCCGTCAAATCAGCAATCTCCTCGAACACAAACACCTCGGCACAAGCCTCCATAGAACTGATGGTGTTGTTTACCGATACGCAGACGTTAAAGATGCCGCTCTGTGCGTAGGTGTGTGCCACGCGGCGACCTTGTATCGGGGGAGAACCGTCTCCAAAGCGCCAGTCGTAGTGAATGCCATAGGGCGAGGGCAGAGGGTGAGCCTCGAACTCGGCTGATTTGTCAGTGAGGAGGAGTTGTGGCTCTGTTTGTATATCGACACGAGTGAGGATGCTGTAGACGCTCATGTTGATGCTCTGACTGATGTTCTCATAGCGGTTGGACACGGACACCAGCGCTGTGTATATCCCTGTGAAGAAAAAGAAGAAGACAGGGATAAGAAGATGAGATTTGTTAAATTGTTTAACTTTTTTGTCATTATCTTTCAGCTTAAAACATTTTGATGTTCTCTAAATTGAAACAAAGTCATAATCGAATAGGCTCCATTAGTCATGCTGCTAATAGGGGGACGGGCGGGGGCTTACCTGGCTGAGAGTAAATATAGGTAACGTTGTTGCTTAGAAGGACCTGAGAGTTTGGACAGCGAAGGGAGGTGGTGTAAGGAGGCTTGTAGTCAAATTCCTCATATCCTCCATCACCAAAAGACCATCTGCAGTAAAACAGAGACAATTTATGACCATTAAATAAGGAACTTCAGAGAAACACACACACACACGCACACACACACACACACACACACACACACACACACACACACACACACACACACACACACACACACACACACACACACACACACACACACACCACACACACACACACACACACACACACACACACACACACACACACACACACACACACACACACACACACACACACACACACACACACACACACACACACACACACACACACACACACACACACACACACACACACACACACACACACACACACACACACAGGAAATCTTCTCTGACGACGCAATAGAGGGTTTTTGGACAAGGAGAAGTGGAAACTCAAGACTCAGGAAGCCTCTCTGGACCAAGAATGGTGAGTGTGGAGGGAAACTAAGTGAAAGAGTGCGCCATAGCTGGGAGGGTGGGAATGTGAAAGAAGGAGGGAGAGAAAAGAGTAAAGGAGAAAGAGTTGAAGAAAAAGTGAGAGAAAAAAAAAAAAGTAGAGGGGAAACAGCCGAGCAGAAGGGAAAATTCTTGTCAGCAATCTGCTCTAACCACACAGTTATAAATCCAAGGGCTCTGCATGATTTGACTGCTGCAGAGCTATTATGGCGCACAGGAAGACGAAACACAGCGAATGGAGAAAAGAGAAAGAACAGATAGAGGAGAAGAAATGAGTTACAAACACAAACAGATGCTCTGTTTTCACTCACTCAATTATATTTTTGGTATCAAAACAAAGCACAGAAGATATATCTATCTATCTGTCTAGCAGTGGTGGAAGAAGTACTCAGATCTTGTATTTAGGTCAAAGTAATACCACAGTGTGGGAATACTCTGTTATAAGTAAAAGTACTGCATTGTAAATGTTACTCAAGTAAAAGTACAAAAGTATTGGCATCAGAAAATACTTAACTACCAAAAGTGAGTACTCATTATGCAGATTGGCCAATTTTTTTAATAATATATATCATATGTTTAATTATAATTATTGATGCATTAATGTGTTTATCACAGCTTGTAAATATGGAGCTAGTTTGAATTATTTTGTATGCTGCAGGGTATATGGTGAATTTACTCCAGGTTTAACTTAAGTCTAATTTAAGTGTTGATTATACAGTATTTCACATCATGATTCCAAATCTGCAAAACAAATAAAGGTACTAAATAAATGTAAAACCTCCTTTTCCCCTCTCTCCAAGTGAGGTTCTTACCCTCATTACCTCTGCCCGTCCTACCACCTGTCCTCTGGACCCTATCCCCTCAAACCTCCTTCAAACTATCGCTCCTGATATTCTACCGTTTCTCACCCATTTCATCAATATTTCTCTAACCTCTGGTCACTTTCCAAACAGTCTCAAGGAGGCAAGAGTAAACCCTCTCCTAAAGAAACCCACTCTCAACCCGTCCGATGTTATAAACTACAGGCCTGTCTCTCTCCTCCCGTTCCTGTCTAAAACACTTGAACGCGCTGTCTTTAAACAACTCTCCTGTTATCTCCATCAGAACAACCTTCTGGATCCGCACCAGTCTGGTTTCAAGGCAGGTCACTCCACAGAAACTGCTCTCCTTGCTGTCTCTGAGGAACTGCACACTGCTAAAGCAGCCTCCCTCTCCTCTGTCATCATCCTTTTAGACCTCTCTGCTGCATTCGACACGGTGAACCATCAGATCCTCCTTCGCACTCTCCAAGAACTTGGAGTTTCAGGCTCTGCACTTTCCCTCCTCACCTCATACCTCAAAGACCGCACCTACAGGGTAACTTGGAGAGGGTCCGAGTCCGACCCTTGTCAATTAACTACAGGGGTCCCTCAGGGCTCTGTCCTTGGTCCCCTCCTCTTCTCTCTGTACACAAACCCGCTCGGATCGGTCATTAGCCCGCATGGTTTTTCATACCATTGCTACGCTGACGACACCCAATTAATTCTGTCTTTTCCCCGTTCTGAAACCCAGGTCGTCGCACGCATCTCTGCTTGTCTAGCAGACATCTCTCAGTGGATGTCTGCTCACCACCTCAAGCTCAACCTTGACAAGACTGAGCTGCTTTTTCTTCCAGGAAAAGAGTGTCCCACTCTTGACCTAACAATCAACATCGGCCCCTCTGTTGTTTCCCCGACTCAGACTGCAAGGAATCTGGCTGTGACCCTAGATAACAACCTGTCCTTCACTTCAAACATCGCTGCTACAACCCGCTGCTGCAGATACACTCTTTACAACATCAGGAGGATACGTCCCCTCCTGACCCAGAAAGCGACACAACTTCTGGTCCAGGCTCTCGTCATCTCACGCCTAGACTACTGCATCTCCCTCCTGGCTGGTCTACCTGCATGTGCCATCCGACCTCTGCAGCTCATCCAGAATGCAGCGGCTCGTCTGGTCTTCAACCTTCCTAAATTCTCCCACACCACACCGCTCCTCCGCTTCCTTCACTGGCTAACTGCTAGAATCCACTTCAAGACACTGGTACTAGCGTACCATGCTGTGAATGGAACTGGCCCTTCCTACATCCAGGACATGGTTAAACCATACACCCCAGCGCGTGCACTTCGCTCTGCATCAGCCAAACGGCTCGCTGCACCTGCACTACGAGGGGGACCCAAGTTCCCATCTGCAAAAACACGTCGGTTTGCTATCCTGGCTCCAAAATGGTGGAATGAGCTCCCCATTGACATCAGGACAGCAGAAAGCTTACACATCTTCTGGCGCAGACTGAAAACTCATCTCTTTCGACTCCACTTCGAGCAATACAATTACTAACAAAGCACTTATATACTAATAAAGGACTGGCTTATCTAAAGCTAGTTGAGTAGCACTTGAAATGTTTTGGCTCTATGAAACCTGATGTACTTATATGATTCTGTTTTCTTCTAGTTTGTATCTTCTTGGTCAAATGCACTTATTATAAGTGGCTTTGGATAAAAGCGTCAGCTAAATGCAATGTAATGTAATGTAATGTAGTGGAGTAAAAGTACACAAATTACCTCTGAATTGAAGTGGGGTAGAAGTACAAAGTAGCATAACATTTACATTCTCAAGTGAAGTCTCTCAAAAATGGTATGTAAGTAAAGTGTTGAGTAGATCTACTTTACACCACAGCTGTCTATCAATCATGATTGTCCATCTATCCCTCTGTTCATACCGGAAGGTGGCGGCCACCGACATGTCGACGAGCACAGAGGTGGTGAGGGTCTGGGTGGAGCCCTGAGGGACCACGTCGGGCACTCCCTTCACTGTGAGGTTGGCCATGGGCTGCAGCCGGTCCACGGTCACGTTGAAATGCTCTGTGAGGGAGCTGACATGGTTCAAGGCCGTCACCTGGAAGAGATGCCACATGAAGACAGATGGTAACAAGTTCAAGTCTTTTGTAACATCCCCAGTATGTGAGCTTTAATTGTGACACAACACAATAACAATGGAGTGCACTGTTGCCTATCAAGCAGAGCTGAAACCATTAGTCTATTAATCAATACGTCTGTCCACCCAAAAATAATCTGCCACTACTTTGATCATTAGTTAATCCTTCATGTCATTTTTTAAATGGGGTGCCGTCATTTAAAAAATCAATCCCTTCAGTTATTGCCTATGCTAAAATACTAAAAACAGTACTGGTTCTGACTTTCTTAAATGTTGCTGGCTTTGTGTCGATGATAATACGTTGAATATCTTTGGCTTATTGAACTACAGACAGAACAAGATGTGACCTTGAGCTCTTTTAAAAGGCATTTAAAGACCAATAATTATATGAAAAATTACTAAATTACATAATGGACAGTGAAAGTAATTGGTCGATCTACTTGCAGATTTAAGACAAAGAAAGCTTGTGATTGCCAAAGCTCCCGCAAAGGGTGACATGCACCCACTACAGCACTGCCAAGCAAAAAGTGTCCCTGTACTTCTGTGCTATTTGCACATATTTAAGTATGGTAATATGAACACTCTTGCAGCCTCGAAATGTGCCTATTTTTATGTAAATGAGCCTTCACCACGATCAGGAAGCAACACACAGCTACTCTCAAGAGGGAGTTCTCTCCGTCACGTTTTCATGTCTTGCCTGAAGCTTTTAGGAATCCCTTTCAGCTCTTCAATCAGGACCTGCAGCTTGCAGTCTGAAAATGTCCCTTTATTCTGACTACTGTGCCCTTTTCCACATGGCCAATAGAGTGGTGCAGTGACGACGAGTCCTAAAACCCGGAAGTGAGTTAGCATTTTACCACTACCGGTTCCCTCGTCTCAGAGTCAATGGGATTTCTGTATAGGATTTTGGAAAATAGCTCAAAATAAGGTCTGTGGTTGACACAAATTTAAGAGACGGATCACGTTTTGTCCTACAACATTAAATACATCAGCAGTGACCCCACTGGTGATTTTTAAAGAGTTTAAGTGTCTGAAAAACGATGGTTGTTAACAAGTGGCTGAATAGGACAATAGAAGTTGTCGAGGACGTTGTACGTCATTACACCGAACACGTAAACACTCCCGCTAAGTTTGTTTGCCCCTGTTCTGCTTGAAAGCAAGTACCTGCGCTCTTGCAAACTGTTAAAACAAACGCTTCAACTTGTAACATTTTGAATCTGTGTTTTTTAATATCGATCTTAAGTTGGCGTGACGTTGAAGTCGTGCGACCCTGCTGTACTCGGATGTAGTTCCTTTATAGCATAACGTTAGCATTTTGCTTCTGGCGATTAGATTTATGATTCGAAAATTATAAAAGTAGGGTAGACATGTGGATATTATCCGGCTGAACAAAACGTGCATTTATCAAACAGGTTCGTTTTCCACAGACCTTATTTCGAGCTATTTTCCCAAATCCTATGGAGAGATACATTGCTTTTTTGTCGAGGGCACCCATGCACTCTATTGCAATCACACGCAAAAAGAGCAAATTGCACTCTGCTGTGTTCCAGGCGTGTTTGCGCTGTAATGGACAGGCAGATTCACAGCCGGCTGCTGCAAGTGATGTGCAATTCATGGTACCATTAGAGGCTGCTATCAATTATTTGTGGATTTGCCCGCAAGTCTCTGGTAACAACCTTTTCGGAAGAAACAGAATGTTCTAAAGAAAACGTTGACGATATTATATTGGTACAAGGTTTTGAACAATTCTAATTCTAATACAAATCACCGATTCAGTTTCACTTGCATGAAATGTCTTTTTTAAAGATTTAGTCAGCAGAAATACAATAATATCTCAAATCTATAAAAAAAACGTAATTTCATTCATGTGTTCGCTGACAGGTTTCATACTGTTGTATATTTTTCACAGGTTGATTGTGTGAGGCTGTGAAACTGTAAGGTCAGTAATGATACATCTTCCAGTTGAGCCCAACAGTGTAAGTCACAGAATAAAAAGACACCTTAGTCCAATCACGATGGATGTTGTTAAATTTGTATACCGTTTGTCAGTGTTCATATTTAATTCAGACATTAATTATCATGCATTGATGGCAACAGAAATGACAGTGTGTCCGTATGAACAGAACTCACTGTGAGCTTGTAGATGGCAGCGTGCTGGTAGATGACGTTGAGCACAGTGTTGTAGTAGGTGAAGTACGGCTTGTCATCCACTGTCCATTTAAAAGTGGGATTGGAGCCTTCACGCACTGAGGCTGTGTAGCTCTGAAACATACAATACGAGATTATTATAATAACAGATTCATTTTGTATAGCGCCTTTCAAGGGACCCATGGCTGCTTTACATGGTGAACAAACAAACAAACAAGAGGGGCAAGTAATAAAGTGCAAATTAAATAAATAGCAGTAGGAGTGGAAGCAGGGGGGCTGTGATGGATTAGGGGTCAAAGGCCATGGTGAACAGGTGAGTTTTTAATGAAGACTTGAAGATGTCAAGGGAAGCAGCATTGCGGATCTCTGCAGGAAGTGCGTTCCAGAGGGTGGTGGCCGCAACACTGAATGCCCTGTCACCAACAGATGTGATGCAAAGACAATAATGTCAATGCATAACCTTGTGATACAGTAAACACACACTCACCACGACTGACTCCATCAGCACCCTGTGTTCAGGGTTGGGCTGCACCATCAGTTCTCTGAGGGGCTCCTCCAGGTGGATGACCACAGACAGACTGGCCTCCGTTACATTATTATGGGCTTCCAGCTCCACCTGCACTGTACTGCGCTGCTCCTCTGTGTCCAGGCTCAGATCCAGCACTGCGTACAGGCTGGGCTCTGGGACCTCCCCCCCCGACCCTGAGCCAGGCCCGGGCCGGCAGAGCGCTGCGTTGGAGGAAAACTCTTTGGGACAGTCGGGCTGGAAAGTCACGCTGTGATTGCTGTTGCGCCGAAAGGCCTTTGTTAGGTAGCTGGAGCGGACGCGGAGCAGCAGCCGGGTGTCGTTGGGCTGCAGGTAGAGGGTGCCATTCTGGGGAGGGGGGTGGAGGACCGTCAAGCCCAGAGGAGGCACCACACGCAACGAGCATGATGCTGAGGCTGGGTATGACGGCTCAACTGAAGTCACCTGAAGTTGATCAAATTCAAACATGTCTCAATTAATATGTTAAAACAACAGAATTACCAAATAAAAAAATCTATCATCTATCTGTATTTATTTAATTATTATTATTATGTAATTCTCATTTTGTCGTTGCCTTTCTCCCACGGGTAGGGAATGGTAAAGGTTTGGGATCGTTATATTATCCAGTGTTTTTTTGTTCTTACTCTTACCTATGCACATTACTTGTCATGCCACGTCTGAGCTGTTGTGTTCTGTTATATTAGATTTTTATTTTGATGAAGATGTGATAACAAATGTATAAGTTTGCAGTAAAAAAAACATGCAAACATGCAAACATTTTTGTAAAGCTTAAAATGTTTTATTTGAATGTGTCAAAATACATGCTGGGATTTGACATAGAGCTTTGATGTCTTACCAGCAGGCTGTAGAGTCCGGGCTGAGGGAGACCTGCGGACAGCTGTGCTCCCTGCAGCTGGGTCTCACTGTGTCCCACAGAGAGCACTCTGACAGGGCAGACCACCTCCTCCAACCAGCCCCCCTCTCCGTCCTCCACCAGCGCCCTCACATCCAGCTCAGGGTCCGGCAGAGGGTCGCCCTCGGCTGAGGTGCCTGGTGACCGTCCGGTGTTGTTGATCCAGAACCACTCTGATTGGTTGAGGGCTAAGACAGGTTGCTGCCACAGTGAGAGTGGGGAAGATTGGCAACGGAGAAGGGAGGCGGGGCCAGCGTCGTGCTGCAGGGCGATGACATCACCACGGGAAACCAAGAGGTCCTCCAGCTGCTCTTGTACCTGTGAGCAAAAGTGATCAGAAGGGTGTAGGTGAGAACTTGAACAACACAAGCCTTAACGGTTTAAAATACGTAACTTTCTCGTCTAAAAAATGTCTAAAAACGACTAAACATATGTTATTCCTTTGTTGAGTAGTCTTACATTATCTCAAATGTACTGAATATTTTTCAAACTTTCAGGAATCCGTCATTTGAACCAAGGTAAGGGTCCGTTTCATTTTGTCGCCACTGTGCATGTGTCAGCGCCGTGCTTTAAGTTCTCAATGATTCACTGTCTTCAATAAGACAACATATTTTTGATACACCTTTTAGATGAAAGGTTTCATTCCTCCAAGGTCTGCATGTTAAGTTTTCTGAAAAACAAGCTGAGCAATTCAGGCGCCACACTTACAGCATCAGAGAAAAAAGTGAATAAATGCTTTATTTTTTCAATTTTTTACTAGTTTTATTTTGGAGAATAGGAGACCACCTTGTACAAAACTCCTGAAGGATGAACACTTAAACAAATCCTAACCGGGAGAAGTTGACGTCATGCTTCTTCAGGCCTTTACCAATCTTTGTCTTTCGATAGAGGGATACCATAGCGCCAGAAAATGACAAATTCAGTTTTGAACTTATCTATCTGAAAACAACCTGAAATTAAAACCTCTGTTTTATTAAGTTTGGATGCTAAAGTAAATCCTCTCACCTGAACGTGTGCAGCTGGTCCTGCCAGTAGGTTGAAGACCACCTCATTCTGCAGGGTGTATCTGGGCCTCAGCGCCCCAGGGGGCAGGCGGTGAGATGCTGTGCAGTTTGGACAGGAGGAGGGGGGGCAGGGACTGGCGAGGGACAGGCAGCGCCGCTGGAAGGGGCACCACTGCTCCAATCGGGGGCAGGGGGGGGGGTCGTCACCCCTCGTCTCATTGGAGACGCAGACGGCCACTGGGGAACACGCCGGACCTCCACAGCCTGAGACACAAGATGAATCACTTGCTTTTAATTAAAGCTTAAACACAGTTTAAAAATACAATAAAAATGTCTTTAAAATTCACCTCCACTGCAATATTTATTAATGAATATATACTATTATATAAGGATTTGTACACTTATATAAATTCTGAGATTTAACTATAACTGGTCAAATAAATGCAGCGCAATGAATAGTAAAAAAAGACCTGCCTCAGAAATGTTTTGAATTAAAACTACAGTTACAAAACAATTGAAATACTCAATTGATTCTATTGAATTCATACTCATTATTTATTTTTTTGTTAAATAACAAGGGTTTTATTTAAGGAGATACTCCTCCCATCCTGGTCCCAATCTGTTTGCTCTTCTGCCCTCTGGCAGACGGTACAGATCCATCAAAAGCCGTACAAAAAGACTCAAGAACAGTTTTCACCCGACAGCAATTAGAGAACTCAATCTTATCTAGCACACACTGCTACTGACCTACACATTGCTCATCAACACATATTTATTCCTACATTTATCTATTTTAAATATTTATGAAGCGAAAAACTCAGATTTACCTGTCTGTTTTTAAACACTGGGATTTTATCTGCATCTATTAATTGTATGTATGTATGTATGTATGTATGTATGTATGTATGTATGTATGTATGTATGTATGTATGTATGTATGTATGTATGTATGTATGTATGTATGTATGTATGTATGGCTGTACAGCTTTTGTAAGTGTATGGATTCATATATATACTTTTGTTTTATTTTATTGCTTGACAGGATTGCTTTTCAAATGTCGTTGTACCTGTACAATGACAATAAAGGAATTAAATTCAAAGTAAATCTAAAGCGGATTTACAGTCACTTTTAATCAAACCATTATGTGAAGTGTAGTTAAAACAATTAATCAGATGGTATCTAGAGAGTATACTCATCTCTCCAATACAAACCAAAAAGTGTAAAAGTGAATGTGTGTTTAATTGTAATGGGAACATAATGAGCGTTCAGGGCTGATATCCATCTTGATGAAGGGGAGAGTAAACGTTCTTTCTGTCATTAATAATCCATCTCATTATCTCCATTGTCTCCATTGTCTGCTCGTCAGCGTTCACAAATTCCAAATGAAAGAAAACAACAGAAACCATTTTTCCGTGTCTTGAACAAGTTGCCTCCTCTCTGTGGAGTTCTGCTTATCACATCCGTCCTCCGCTCTGTCTGTCCTCTCTCTATTGAACCACTCCGCTGCTAGGTCTCAGCGGACACGTTAACAAACAACAGAAAAAGCATCTCAGATTTTCGTGCATTGTGCCACGCGGTGCAGCAGCTAAGTGTGGGCTCGGGAGGGAGCTGACCTTGATTGATCTTGTCTACCTCTTCTCCTGTTTTGTCCCACTTTCTGTCTCAATCCAAACTTTACTTTCCTAGTGACCTCCCTTACCACCTCAGACAAGTGTGTGTGTGTGTCAATGTATTTGTGTAACCGGAGGTGTGAGTCCGAGCAGGTGGCACCTGCTGAAAATCACCGTCGATGTGCGGATGATTTTACGTGTCAGGTTACGGGGGTGTGTGTGTTTCAGAGTTGGGCTCACCGGGTAGCAGCAGGTGCAGGCCGGGGTAATGACAGTGAGGTCTGTAGGTCTGGAATCGGACTTGGACTTGTGAGCTGAGCTGCTGAGTGAGAAACTCCAGGGAGGACAGACGGCCTGCCTGAACAAAGCTCAGAGCCGGGAACAACAGCACCTGAGAAAAAAGAGAGAGAGATGTTTTACGATTAGAAGGATTGAGGTATGTACATGAATAAACAAGCTGCGGTTCCTCCTCACCTCTATGCCACCTGTGGGAGGCTGTGGCGCCGAGAGCGTAGCGGGCAGGGCATGGTGCAAGGGATTATGGGAGGGAAACACAGCCAGGCCAACAGTGTAAATCCCTGCATCTGGAACACGCACTGTAGAGGCAGAAAGAGAATACATGTGAAAAAAACCGAGGCAGGGTTGAGGTATTTAAAACAATTTAGAGGAGTCAATTTATAAGAAATTAGGGCTGTGCAATTAATCGTATTTTAATCGCAATCACGATTTTGGCCTGCCACAATTACAAAAACAACATAATCGAAAAAAACGATTATTTTGCTTTGCTAGGTTGTGACAGTGCACTGCAACATATTTGATCTAATTCATTTTGGTCTCATTTATTTGTATTTATCATATTTATATATGTTTAGTAGCTTGTGGAAGTGAGCTCCAAAATATTTGTTGATCTTGTTTATTGGTATTTATTACTTTGATATTATTTATTTAAATGTATCATTTATTTAATTTATTTTTGTATTGTTTTTTTTGTTGAATTATACGTTCAGGGAAATCAACAGTTAAAAAGATACTGTTCAAATTATTATTTGTATTTGTTTTAAAGTTCAATAAATTGATTTTTTCAAAGTCAATGAATAATCGTATTTAATAATCGTGATATTAATTATTGACCCAAATAATCGTGATTATGATTTTTGCCATAATCGCACAGCCCTATAAGAAATGGTGGCTCAACTTAAGTCAAGAACCTTCTTTAAATAGTGTTTACAACGGTGAAGAGGGCACAAACCTCGGATGACTCAGACTAAACAAAACTACCGTTCAAGATGTTAAAGGAAGAACGCTTCAGTGCACAATGCATCTGCTCGCTGGAGACTGACACAAACACAGAGGCAGAATCAAAGGCACACTGGACCCGAGAAACACCAGGCAGTCTGGCAGAGACACACACACACACACACACACACACACACACACACACACACACACACACACACACACACACACACACACACCACACACACACACACACACACACACACACACACACACACACACACACACACACACACACACACACACACACACACACACACACACACACACACACACACACACACACACACACACACACACACACACACACACACACACACACACACACACACACACACACACACACACACACACAGACTTTATGTTCGTTTTTGAAGCACTTTACATTTAACTGCTGTACATTTCTCAAGAGGACTTCAGTCTCATTAAGTTTCTTCCCGTGGAGCCAACTGAAATCTAGTTTTACTTCTGCTCGAGCTACGTCCACATTACATGGTACATTATGTGCAATTTTACGCATTTTGACACCTACACCCTCAGTTTTGAAGCACAACATTTTCTATTTCAAGATAATGACTGGATCAGAAGGCTTTCTACTCACTGACTTCACAACAGGTGACATATAAAAGTAATTTGGCTCTCCACTCTCCTGTCATTGCTGAGGTAAACACGTCAAAATGGCAGCAATTTTGCTTCAACAATCAATTTGGCTCTATTTTTCGTCCACATCAAGTATAGATATCCAGGTGACACATCTAACAAAAACCTGTTTATTTACTACCGCTTCTAAATTCTTAGGCCTATATTTTTGTATGAATATATTGTCGTATTCCTTTGAACAAGAAAATACCATTTATCCTCATGTTGGGTCATTGTTTCTGCTGTTCCTTAAGTAGCAAAAGCCTTAACAGCATTTCAAAGTACAGAGATGCTTCTATAAAATATCATGATGCATCATAAAGCTGAAAATGATGGAGAACGTTCTCTTGATGCTCCTCACACAAGAAGCAATTTGTATCAATGCCAAGAGCCCTCGTAAAAAAGAAAAGGTGCTTCAAGGAGCTTGTGATTTGTCATGAAGGGTACTGAATGCTTTTCCCTTCTACGCTTGTTTAAGCCACAATTTAATGAACATCAATTGAAAGTGTGGAAGGTTTAAAGTGTTTGCTTTTTCGCTTTAACCACTAAGGCTTCAGAGGGATTTTGGGAAATTGAATTTGAATAGAATCTTTTTTTTAACTCTCTATCAAGGGTTTTCAAATGCCCTGTATTTTGGTCTGTCTGTGTGAATGTTGGCAGCCTACCTTGGGGGCTAAACTGGCAAACATAAGCCCCCTTAGCGTTGAATTGGTGTGAATTAGTCTGAGCACGTTGATCGAGGGACCCGTCCTGGGCCTCGGAGCCGTTCACCGAGCGCAACTTAGCTGGAAAGTCGACATCCAGCCCCACACCTCGCTCCCTGGGAAAGAAATGGACAGGTTTCACACAGATTAACACCGTGCCAGCTTGACATCTAGTTGAGTGGCAGATGACAGCTGGAAGATTGACTCTTCACTTGAAGTGTACACAGAAGGATGCACAGACATGACCAAAAAAGAAAAAACTCTACAGGAAATGATCATATCTGAAGACTCAATGATGAAAAATCTCATACATCTTGTTATGAATGTGAAAGTGATGTCAGATGGAAAAAAACACCACAAACATCTTCTACAAGAGTAGAATCAATTAGTGGGCTCCATGAGTGACATTGTAGGGTTATAAAGACGCCTGCCTTCAGAAATCAATGATAATTAAAGCGGCAAACATTGTTTGATGGCGAGTGATCTGTCGCCATGGCAATGGCATTTGTTGACACCCTATAATTCGCCTATAATGTGTTGAGGGTTGCATCGTTATGAAACCTGTGAAGTGTTGGGCCGTTTGGAGCATGTTCAATGGAGTTGTGAGAAAACCGTGTTTCATGGCAAGGGATCTGTCGCCATTGCAACGGCATTTGATGACACCCAATAATACGCCTAGATGTGTTGTGTCTCAGACCCTAATAATGGGCTTTGATTGCCCAAGTAGGGTGGATAGCAGTGTGGCGATGTCAGATACTGAGTGTGTCCCTGTGATTACTAAAGAAACATTGGATTTTTCAATCAATGAGTCCGCTAATGGACTGCACATTTTTTTCCCACGCCTTCTGTCAGTTTTACAATGTTAACAGAAAGCAACATTATCTTCCTTCCAAAAGAAAAGGTGCTGTATGAAGGCACACTCAAGGAAATGGAAGAGAATTAAACATCTAAAAAATGTTGTTGGATGCTGTACTTTTTTCTGACATGTCCAGAAATCCACCGGATAAAAGCAATTTCCTTCCCAGTCTTGTTTTGTTATTTTTTTGGATCAGCCTCTCTATATCTATTTTTTTCAACAGACCTTCTTATATAAGTGAGGGGGTGGAGGAACACATGAGCGGAGGAGGAACAAGCTCCATCTGCAGCAGGTTTGTTCTACTCTCATCCACTTCTGACAGAGGGTATGGCCTCTATGGCCTCTATCCTCACACACACACACACACACACACACACACACACACACACACACACACACACACACACACACACACACACACACACACACACACACACACACACACACACACACACACACACACACACACACACACACACACACACACACACACACACACACACACACACACACACACACACACACACACACACACACACACACACACACACACACACACACACACACACACACACCGTGAACTCCTCCTCCCTGGTGTTAGAGTTGCAATGCAGCTGTGCTTTTACAGATGTGTTTTTTCACGACCCTCTACGACCTAAACACCAGAACTCGGGGCCTTCAGAACAGCACAAGCCCAGAACATTTTTTATTTAGAGAAAGTAAACAGGCATTGCTATTTTTGTAGAAACAACATGACTAATCCTGAGGTCACTATCACTTCTCATCTGTATTTAGTTATACTATGTGGGAAAAAACAACAATGAAAGTATTTAAGGCAGCCAGGAAACAAAACACATTAATGAGTCAATGTAAAAGATAACAAGGACAGCTTCAAGGCATGAAGCTTGTAAAAAAAGTAAGTATTAAAAAAACGACTGCTGTTGAAACACACATACAAACACAAAGAGACACTTTCAACAAAAAAACATTCACAAACTGACAGGAGAAGAAAAAGCTAAAAAAAAAAAACACACTGTTAATTTAAACCTTGCAATTGATGTGTTTTTGTAAAACTGAAAGTTGGCTAAGTATACACAGCGATCTATTGATTCTGCTGCGAACAGCAACATGGTGAGGAATATTGAAATGGTCGGGGATGACACTTTGTGTTGCAGAGCTGGCAGGTTCTCTGTACAGTAGCTGACGGAACTAATGCAGAAAAAACTGATAGAAATGGTGAGAGACTATTTCTGCAGGACATCAGACAGAAAAACTCACTGTGGGACTTTGGGCGACAGAAGGGTACGCAGCGCGTCGAGTGGGACCGAGGACAGGTCCCCGCCGCGGTCTGAACACTGCTGTCGAGCATCTGTCCAGCTCAACTCCTCTGGAGCGATCTGGAAACAGCGTGAGGACTCGGCGTGGTACCTCCCATCCTTTGTGCAGTGAGGGGAGGCTGGAAAAGGACAGACACATTCACATGATTCCCCAGATCTTTGAGGTCCCACAGGAAACATCACAGAATCATTGTTTTATTGCTAAAGAGAATATCTTCAAAAACTCGAATTCTATTCTATCCTAACCTAACCCTATTACGATTTTTTAAAGATATAAAAAATAGGAATAAATTCCGTACAGATTAATATTACATTGTATACATGTGTACTGTACAACGCATTCGTCAAGATCATTAGAAGTTAAAATACTACGTTCACATTCGGTGACGTTTCACTAGGTTATTAATTTTGCACTGAATATTTATTGTCGAACTGGCATTAATGTGACCTTTTCCTCTCGGAATGCATCTCCATTTCCATAATAATCTTATTATTCAAATGTATGAAAGTGATTAATTTGGGTGGGAAAACATGGGCTGTATAGTGCATGTCTTCTTTATAGTGTTCCATTTTTGATGAAACCTTGAAATGGACTGGGCTTGAGCTTCGAAAAATCTTTGGCAAACACAGACTAGACTAGGAGAAAAAAGATGATAAATGAACAGAAGATGAAAACAAAACACTTAGAGTGGCCTTACTCAGATACAAGGACACAAATAGTCACAGCCGGACTGCAAAATGTTTTGTCTTTCCTATTCCAAAATGTTCTCCTCAAGTTACTCACATAAGTGAATATATTGCCTTGTGCTTTCTGTGTCTGTCTCTTTCTGCTAAAGTTAGTCTGCTTCTTTGTGGCACACAGATCGCATTTAATATTTAGATAAATCATCAAAATCCAGGAAATCTTATCGCAAGGATGAGACGGGGTATGAAGGAGGGGTTCTGGGAGATTAATTAAGGGGGGTAGGTGGTCTGTGTATTGTGAGTGTGTTTTTGTTTCTATATAACTCTTGAATGTTTTTTACAAGACATTTATCCTGTTTTCGATCATGTCATTCTTCCACATAAAACCGATGAAGACCCACAGAGCTACTGTTGAGGTTTACAGCAGCAGTAGAGCCTAAACTAACTGGCTGTGTGTTACTATCAAGAGTCGAACACAAATGATTGACCGTTGATTAGCAACATTAGCTGCTTTTATCTGGTGTGTTGGTGTATTCTACCTTTGGCAACTTGGACACCATCCTTGGAAATCTTCCAGTCCACATCCACGCCGACAGCCCCCCAGCTGACAAGTGTGAACTCTAGGCTCTTATTGGCCACAGCCAGAGGAGGACAGCGCAGCTCCAGTTTGGGAGGAAGTGTCACGGTCACGGTCACTTCTCCGCTTGCAAAGACCTCAAAAACGTAAACATAAAACACAAGATATTAAAATACATGTTGGCAACAAGGTTTAAAAAACATAAAAATAGCTGTTCTTTGATATCCTTTCTCTCTCACCCCCTTGCGTCCAGCCGAGGCCGTCAAACTGATCAAATATTGTCCTGGAAGTCCGTATTTGTGAGTTGCTGCTGTGACCTCTGTTCCTGCTTGTTCGACCCGAGGAGAATGGTCACCAAAGTCCCAGGTTAGCATCACTGGAGTGACGGAGGACGCAGCGGAGAAACTGATGTGGTCGTGCACGCTTTGCAGTGGGAGAGAATTCAGTGAGAGAAACTTCAGTGAGACGGCGAAGTCCACCGCAAACACGACATCAGCCAGAGCCCACCCGCATTCCTGCACAGAGAGGAAACCATGTGAGGAAGAGGAGGTCTTGGTGTTAATATGATTAATTGAAAGTCAATTATTTTAAATGTTCAGAAGTCTATGGTTTTATTATTTTTATGGTTTTAAATTCAAACTTAATAAAACAAATAATCTGCTCTGATTTAAAAAAAAACGAATCTTTATCTCCAATTTAGAATTCTGGATAACTTGAGTGGCTCTATACAGCAGCGCCACAGGAAACTGAATCTGTGGATGAAGGGAAGTCATTCAAGCCCCAGAAGGAAGTTGTTGGTTGATTATAGGAAGGGGTCGAGGAAATCCTGAATGGTGTGTTTACAGAAGAAGAAACAAAGCAAGAGGAGGGAACTACACTTCCTCAGAGTTGAATCATAACTCTTTGTGTGCTGCATACCTTCATTACATGGGGCTTTGTACAGGCGGCAGAACACTGAGACTCGCTGATCAAGTTCGGCTCCGAGTTCGTGCTGCAGAGGCACTCGTGCCTATCCCCCAAGCCCCCGTAGCGGTGGGATGCAGCAAAACACACACTGTTACACTGTTTCTGCGTGAAGTTTCCGGGTGTGGAGGAAGAGAAGATAACAAGCTCGCTCCGTCCCCCTCCTCCACTGCTGCTGTCCTCAAAACAAGCTGCATAGTTCAGACCTGGAGGAGAAGGAAAGGTTTTCAGACAACACAGTGAAAATATATTTTGTCTTATGATCAATTATAATCTGTCCAAACCAGCAAACAACTATCAAAGAGCTCAACTAATGAGAAGTTTAATCCTCTGATGTCGGTATTTCTCACCACAAAAATTGCGTAATATGACCCAAAAACCCGAAAATGTCAAATGAATTAGCATTTGCAAGGATTTCTTTTGTACTTTCTTGCCTTGTAAGACTTTATTGTAGGTGTATTAATGTAGCATCTCTGCAACGTGCTTCGTACCACAGGTGAGCAGGCTGACGTTGAGCAGGGGTCGGTGTCGCAGCTCAGGAGGATGGTTGCAGAGCATGGCGTCCGGGCGTCGAACCCGCACCCCTTTCTCCTGGAGCCAGCTAACCAGCCGAAACAGCTTACAGTCACAATCAAAGGGGTTACTGCTCAGGTCACTGGGGGAGAGGAGGGCAGGGAGGAAGGGGATCATTCATGGGGAAACATGAGATGTTAACATGTTAATCAAATTGTATGGTATGGGCTCATGGTAAAACAAAAAGAGCAATAAAGCTGAAATCCATTATTTCAAATGAATTTTTAATAAGCTACAACAACTATGGTCGAACATTTGGAGTCTTCTAATGCAATTAGCTAACTAATTAGGCCGTGGGATTGTCCACAATTGGTCATAAAAGTTATATGCTAGTGTTAGCATAACCACAGAAAATGCGCTGGTCTTAAAGGTGGGGTAGGTAAGTTTGAGAAACCGGCTCGAGATACACTTTTTGTTATATTCCATGGAATGCTCTTAACATCCCGATAGCAATGAATATCTTAAGTGCTTTGACAAAAAATCCATAAAAAAATGTCATCTGTGGAAGCCGTAATACTGTAAAAAGTACGACCAATCATTTTAGCCCGGCCCTGCTAAAATAACTGGATGGCCTACCTGCCTGTCAGCCTTCCATCTGTGCACAAACTTATCTCGTGCCCTCATTGGTCATGTGCGCGTTCGTGTGTGTTGGAGGAGGGGCTCTGTATGGAAGTGGCAGATTTCCTCCGGTTGTGTATTTTCAAATTCTAGCGATCTCGAGTCGGTTTCTCAAACTTACCTACCCTACCTTTAACTCGTAACAACTTCAAAAAAGAAAAAAGCAGGGTAAATACATGGAGCAATGGATGGAAGGGGGAGAGAAAAACCTTTCAAGAAAAAAACAATAAGGGACCTTTGGAAATGAAATGTATTATTATTATTATTATTATTATTATTATTACTACCGACTACATTTAACTGTGCTGAATAAAAATGTGCTCAAAAAGAAAACGTATGTCTCTTCTAGGAATAATTACTACTCACTACCTCCCACTGCAGTCTGAAATAAAGCTTCATTCATCTTGAGCGTAGACGAGGTAACTGGAAACGTGCTGCTTATCTAAGCATGTGTGATCAGAGGTGTTTGTAACATAATGCTTTAATACATCGGTGTATAAATAGGGTCTAATAATATTTGAATGATCATCTGATTTCTTTTGTTTTTTGGAAAGACAAGAGACAAAGAGATACAGAGAAAGAAAGAAGTAACTGTGATTACTTACATTTGAGTTAAGTTGCAAAGGTTGTCACATATTCTTTCTTCTATGGTGGCGATGAGATTGTTGCTCAAATCGCTGCAGAACACACAAAGCAGAATTCATATTCAAACAAGTCTTAAGTCACTTTTATTGACTTTCTGATTGGTGGCAATTCATATGGTACTGTCATTATGTGATACATAATTGTTGTGTGGTGTCTGTTATTGACACAACAAATAGGGTCATTGGATGATTGGAGATGTGGAGCTGATTCTTCTATGTTATTCTCTGATTGTTGCAATCACACAAAATGACTTTTCAGTGTGTTGATCAATGTAGAGGGCATTTTCACATCTTCTTCATAAAAACTGCATCAGATATATAACGCCAAATTAACTAAATCCAAAACAACTGAAGTGCTGAGTAAGAGTTAGACTTGTTTCTTTCCGCTTTGTTTCCATACTACTCTCTTTCTTTTTCTTAACTCCCTCCCTCTCTTCTCTATCCAGTAGGCTACATAATGGGGCCGTTGTGTGGCGGTTTTGGAAGGAACTGATGGAAACCACCAGTCCTCTCTCAATACACACATACACACATACACACACACACACAGATGCTTAAATGGCCATTCAGTGGGTGGAAGAAATAAGGTAATGGTTGGAGGGAGAGGGAGAAATGGGGCGGGGGGGTGGAAGGAGGTAGTAGGAGCCTGGAGCAGTAAGCAGTAATTGAACTTAATCGTGCCTTGATTAGTATGTGTGTGTGCGTACACGTGTGGGTGTGTGTGTGTGTGTGTGTGTGTGTGTGTGTGTGTGTGTGTGTGTGTGTGTGTGTGTGTGTGTGATTGCTCTCCGGTCCAGATAGCTTGCTGCAGGGATTTCTGCCTACTTAAATCCAGACTAAACCAGACCTTTCTCCCTTTTTTTTTTTCATCTTCCTCATCCTCCTCTACTCTCGACCTTGGGTTTGCGAAGGTCCTCATCTGTTCTTGACTTTGTACTCACAGGATTGACAGCGGTCCGCAGCAGAATACTCCCCTCGGGAGAACTTTGATCTTGTTTCCTTGGAGATACCTAAAAGATAGATATATAGTTACATATATCAAGAGAGATGCAGATAGATGGGTTGAAACTGTATATGAATATTTAAATGCATTGCAGACTCACAGCTCTCGGAGGCCAGTGAGACGATCTAGCAGGCTGGTATCAAGGGAGGAGATGTGGTTCCTGGAAAGGTCTCTGCGGGAACAAACCGACATGTCCACATTTAAAATGCATGACAGGGCAAGATGATTGCAGGCACACAAAATCACACAATCATCTTCAGGCGACACCATTTATTTACCTGTGGCTGTGCATGTGCTGGGAAATTACATTTTAAGATTGCAAAGAGAAACATATAACAGTAGCTCCGTCTGTAGGGACTCGTCATCGTAACCGGAGGGTTGGCGTTTCAATTCCCAATCAGACTCAACAAATACATTGTGGACTGGAAAGGTGCCACTTTTATAATGCATATACATGTATTCCAATGCATGTGTGTATTTGTACTGTACTGTGTGTGTGTTAAACATATAACTAGTGTAGATATAACCCACTAAACACAGTGTAGATATATGTATCTACACTGTGTTTACAGAGTGGAAAACTGAATTTCCCGTATGGGATCAATAAAGGTTCATCTTTATCGAAGATAACATACACCCTAAATAAGATGTTCAGTACAAATGCTGGAGGACACAATACTATGCACAAGGGGTGTATACCTGTACTGATGAACCTTTTAATAATTTATTAAGTTATTAATTAAACTACAAAATAATGTCTTGTGATGGTTGGAGAATTCCTCTCCACTGCCAACACTATTTTGAGTTCAATTGTTTTGCCAAAGAAGAAACAAAAAACACAATATGTAAAGTTAAAGTTGATATTTACTGATAGCATTAATACATATTTTATTTAATCTCTAGAAATGTCTTGTTAATATTCTTATAGTAATTCATTTTGGCCACAATAATCATGTAGTGTAACTCAGAAACCATGACAGCCCTACAACAACAATGCAACCAGTTCTGTGTTTTTTTTTGTCACAGATGTCACATATCACTATCCTTTTTTCTTAAATTAACTTAAAAAATACTTTTCTTTGATATTACCAACCTTCAAGATTTTCAGTCCATATTTACTTTTAACTCATAAAGTAGCACGAAAAGTATTTTCGAGCAAGTGACAGAAAATAGTCCCCAGCCAAATACAAACTTGGGGTCATGATGGTTGCAAAATAAAATAATGGAATTAAACAGGGCACTCTTTTACCAAGTTGGAGGACTCCTAAAAGATTAATTAAAACATTATATTGATCATCATCAAAGAAGCAGAGGCCAAGGCATCCAAACAACATTCCCTATTATGCAACACATATCAACAACTATGACGCTGCAACTTCTTGTGTAGTGACATTTGAGTAGAATAAAGGTTTTTTGAAGCTGTATTGATTGTCCAAAACACTGTATTGATCACTAATCAAAAGTAATTTCACTGTCTGTTTACACCATCAAGATCCCAAAATAGTTCCCAAAAGTTTTAAACCTCCAATGAGAATAATTTCTATTGTCATAATAACGAGATTAGTGGGTTCCTTTGGCTAATTTGGTCTGTGAGTTACGGGGGATCACTTTAATTATTCAGTAGGAAATAAACCCCCGTGAGGCAGGATGTGAATGGAAGGCAGATAAGACGGCAAATGACAATGTAAATGTCACTCGCCCACATAAAGCACTTAATTAATGCACACAGTCTTTCCAACAATAGAAAAAGGAGTAAATGAAAGATGAGCAGAACAGTGAGAACCAGCAGACGGTACTTCACATAGTAAGGAATATCTCAAATGTTCCGTATTCGTTTCGTAAAACGTTGAAATATGTTTAATGAGAAAAAATAATTAAGATGCAGGAGAGGCATACTAAAAATTCAATTTCAGGACATTTGCATTTATATGCATTTTTTTTTAATTGCAAGTGTACATATTTTCTTCTACTAATGTTAATGGCCATTTGATTTACTAAGTGTTATTTAAAAAAAACATGATAGTAGGCCGACACTGATATCACTAATGGATAGGTAAATACTGATATACTGCTATTATTTGAGCAAAGAATCCTTGGTTATTGAAAAATTGGGACCAACCTTAGTATCGAGTGATTTTAAAGTTGGAATGCATACAGATCAAATTCTCCCTAATGGGGGAGCTATGTAACATATCTTTGGCATTTCTGTATAATAATTCTGTGTTACTAATCGGCCAAACTATGAGGCAATGGCAATGCAGTAAATCTGCATTACATTTATACGGGCCAATATACTACAAGCCTGGCTGATTTATTGCTCCAGTATACAAGGTCAAGTATACATGCACATATTTTGCAGTGCAAGCACAAGGTTAAAAGTGTGTTCAGTACATAGAAAGTAAACACTACTGATCACCGAGTCAGTGAGACACCGGCAGATAAAAGAGCCAGGAAATGAGGAGTTGCGGAGACAAGGGGAGCAGAAGAGGAAGCAGGACGGAGTCAAGCTTAGTTAAGTGGCTTCGGTCTCCTGTGTGCCTTCGCATGAAAGCCTCAGCTGCACTTTAGGACGAGACAAAAGTGAGAGAAGAAAAAACAAGGAGACAAGAAGCAAGAGGTTGAGGAAGGACAAAATGCTTTGTGTGTGTCAGAGACGACAAGAAAACACCAGCCTGGAGTGTGTTCAGCTAATTTCACAGCAACGATTAAAAATCAAAGTCTAAAACAGGAAAATGTGTTTGAGGGTATGGGAATGTACACTCCTTTCTCCTCGCTCTCTGTCTTTCTATGTGTGTGTGTGAACAGAGCAGGACGCCCATTCCCAAAAGGAAACATCTGTACATTCCAGACACGCTGTGTAAGAAAGATGGAGACAGAGAGGGAGAGAGAGGGAAAGAGAGGGACAGAGAGGGAAAGAAAGGGAGAAGAGGAAGAGAAATCTCCTCTGCTAAACCCATCAGCAGATGAAACAGGACAACATTGAGACGCTCCGCCCACAAGCTGATCATTCACACATTAGGCTGACACCTCGCATTATGTGATGCTCTCTACCTTTAGGCAAGTTGTGTGTGTGTGTGTGTGTGTGTGTGTGTGTGTGTGTGTGTGTGTGTGTGTGTGTGTGTGTGTGTGTGTGTGTGTGTGTGTAAAACTATTATGCAATTTATGCAGGAAATATGAACTTGTGGGATTCGCTACATACACAAAAGGAGATTAGGTAGAGGAAGTGTGTGTGTGTGTGTGTGTGTGTTTAACATGACCATATAATGTGACCTTCACAATGACTATTAGCAACAGGCTCCCGTTCTCTCAGCTACCTCTGGACACACATGGTTTTACTTACGCACACATACACACACACAGCACACATATGGTTCTGTTTTACTAACGGTGTGGCCAATGATCTAACCACTCCTTATAAGGCCTGTCTGGTGCCACTTATTCTGAGCTGGAGGATAAGAGCGCACACACACACACACACACACACACACACAGACACACACACACACACACACACACACACACACAGACACACAGACACACAGACACACACACACACACACACACACACACACACACACACACACACACACACACACACACACACACACACACACACACACACACACACACACACACACACACACACACACACACACACACACACACACACACACACACACACACACGAGGAGTGGGTATGAGCTCTGGAGGAACACATCAATCTGAGGTGGGATGGAGGAAATGAAAAAGACAAAAGAAAGCCACTGAAGTAGATTGATATCTGCTGGAATTCCTTCTGCACAAAAATGAGTTTGGCGAAGAAAACTGTGATGTAGGTCTGATGGTGGGACGGACCGGTATCTGCTGCATGGCGGTGGCCAAGTGGTCCAAGTCCCCGTAAGTGAAGGCCAGCGCTCCACTAACCCACTAAACACAGACTGCTCTGCGGTCGCTTTCATCCCCCTCAGCATCCCTGCCTGATTCCTCCCTCCCTCCCTCCCCCAGTCACTTCTCACAATTTCTTTCTCCCTTTATTTTCCTCCCTCTGCTGCTTTGTTTATGTTCAAATGTTGGGCAGACAGTCTGACGGGAGGGAATGCTGGACGAAATGAGATGGAGTTGGAGAAGGCAGGTGGTAAAGGTAAGCAGACGATAAAGTGGGAGACTAGCAGTGAGCGACCGATGCCAGGTATGGAGAACAATCGCCCCTACTGTGAGCTGCGTGTCCCTTGGGCGCCTGTCTTACTGCCTCCACTCTGCTTAATGTGAGAGCTGCCAGCATGGGTCACAAGTAAGGGCTTACTTTCCCTATACTGCACGAAGAGAATCTGGGATGTTAAATGAACAGGTTTGGTCTAAAAAAACGTTTTGCTTCTTGGACTCTGACTGGGTCACAAACACTCTACTCTTGAGAACATTCTGTCCATTTTTCCAGCTGCTGCTGCCTGGGTCGTCTGGTGTCCAGCTGGCAAGTGAAGGGCAGCTGTGTGCAGCGGTCTAACACACTCACTCAAAGTAAAGCGCACACAGACACACACATACACACGCTTACATGCTGTCAATGAATGCAGGAAAAACAGAACTGCTGTAACACTGTCTCAAGCTCATTGCTCACTCTTTTTCTGGTAAATGAAACTGTGTGAGTCCAACATTTCTTGAAGTCATAAAATGTGGGCTTGAAACAGAAATGGGGCTCCGGCCGCAGTGTTTCTGGTTTGTGACAACGACAGAAAGAAAAAAAACTAACTAGTTATTATTTTCAACTCAGTATAACAAACTCAGTATTGACATTAACTGCAAAAACCCATAACTCAAAATCAAATACAAAAGTCCAGTTTGAAATTCCCTTCTTTTTGTTTTTTTGAAATTTTGAAATTAATGCCAATGCCAGAAATGTGAAAACATCGACTAATATTGTGTTTTTCCGACACTACTTTAGACCCCCTTCCCCCGCTGCAATTTAACACACTGTCTAATGTGTCACCAAAGAAATGCAAGCACCTGTCATCTGCAGTTATTTCTCTCTCATCAATATCAAAACAAACGATCATTGGAACTTAAGTCAGAAACAAAAATGGGAAGTGATTGATTAAAGTAACATTCATATATTTCTCTTTCATTAAGATTTTTAAATACAGCTACGTAAAAATCACATTTACAAAAAATGGATTG